ACGTAAAGTCGTTAAATTTTTAATGCATACCTTCCACACGAAACATTCAAACATCAATACAAGACAAGATTACTTCGATTTTATTTTTATTGCGTGCTTCGAAAAGCAGTCGTTACAAATTTTCTAAGCGATTAATGCGTGGGCGCTCGGCCAACTTCGGGACCGTTCGATAACGATCTCAAGCTGCCCACGCGCACATTTATTTGATACCCTCCTAACTAACGTTTCTGGGGCATATGTATTAAAATGTGTTCAAGGATTCAAATAAAACCTGCCTCGGTTTTTGTACGAAGACATTTGAATGATCAACGGATTAAACTGCTTATCGGATTGTAATATACATTTTTAAATTCGTTGTAATTAATTTCTGGCTTCCGCTTGCACAGCCGTTGGCTGTTACCTTTTAAGTGAGCAAATACATATTTATTCACCTACCTTTTCCTTACTTATGGAGTACAAACATATTTTATACCACACTTCTCTAACGGCGTCAAAAAGGTTGTGAGCTTGCTTTGAAATAGGTACCTATAAAATAAATATTTGCCCGCGATTCTAACCTAGCAGACGGGAAGAACATACGAAGTACATCTCAGACCCCCTGACTCCTAGTAAGGGGCTTATTTTAGTTTCGTAGCCATTTGTAGTGATTTCGTACTCAACCCAAACAGACTTTGATTCTCGTTTCGTACATATATATTTAAAAGTAACGGCGTAAAGATTTTAGTGCGCGGGAGCCATGCTTCAGCGAGAATGGATGGCTCGACCGATGACCTACCTCGCAGAATATCGGCGTCAAGAAACACTTAGGCTGTATTTCGCCGTGTGACTTACGTTATCGGAGGCCCAATCCTTCCATACACTCATCCTAAATCTTTAAATCCTCCATCCTTAAATGCCTAATAACCCACAAGATGGCTGGCAATGTATTAGTAGTAACTTCTTTGGTATTGCGTATCCATGGGCAGTACCGATTACTTACAATCAGGTAATCCGTCGGCTCGTTTGCCGACCTATGGCATAAAAATAATGATACGATATCCTCGAGCGATCGTCGCAAACTATCTGAGCTTTAAGACTCTGACCACCAGTATAGTCTTCCAATTTAAGATTTCACAACATGAAAGGTATTGTTTATTATGGCGAGGCTTGGTGTCTCTCTAATTATGAAGATTAAAATCGGAAAAGAAGCAATCCAAGTTACTTACTATATACCAAAGAACCAACAAGCTTTTTTGCGAGAGGGCAATAATCTTATAAAGACTTTCACTGGGTGGGGCGAGAGGGAGTGTCAAACTCTTACTGACTAAAAACCACTGCGTTTTTTCTCCTCCTTGCACCTGCAACTCTGCTGAACATCGGCCCGGTTTTATTGTGGTGGTCTGTCGGCTCTATGAAGCGCGCGTGGAACGATAGTCGTTCGTTGTAGGTACTCTCAGTTGAGATTCCGTTTAGATGGCCGGAGAACGTCGCGCAAAATCCAACAACTGGAGTATCGCCTACTGAAGCGGCTGGGGCGTGCGTGAGGAGGATAGTTCCCGCCGAAAGAGGAAACAGCTTTTCAGTACCTCTCGCTCCGCACCATGCCCTAATCACTTCCCTAAGAAAACGGCGGTGTTCACCCCAAGCAGGGCACACAGCCACCGTATGCTCCACCATGTCCTCTTGGTAAAACAGGTGTCTACCGAAACTTCCCGTGTCCTATAAGCACGTGCATCAGACGGAAGGTGAGGACGCCATGGCGTCTCTCTAGCCACTCCTCAAAGAAGGGTCTTACCGCCTCTATAACTGCGTGTCCGGTACCTACGATACCTACAGATACTTTCAACCAAACTTTTACCAATGAATTTTTCAGATCCTACATACGAATATTAGACCTGAAACATTGTAACCTAAAAACTTAAAAGTACCTAGTTAGGTATAATACCTTCATTCATGGAGGCGAAACTTGATTTCTTCCGTACAAAAAAATCCGGGTCAAAAAGGGTGTGCGCTAGACGCGCTCGACTTTTATCCTATTCTCTCCCATAACGCCATCTCTCTCGCTCGGAGACGGCTACTCTCTGCTATAGCTAGATCAATATCGGATACTATGAAAATGTGGCTTCATAAAAAATATTCCTAGATACTTAATAAATAGAAAATTTACCAAAAATAATCTTAATTACGTCACCAATTATAATCAATATTTCCATATTTTTACGTGCCGCTGTGACGTGGTAAAAAGAAAATATAGACGTCATAGAAATGAAACCAAGTCAAAGTCAAGCCAAGGTCAAAGTGGCAAATTGAGACTTCTTATACTCTTCTTATACCTACGAGTCAAGGCGTGAAACTGACTCCATGGAACGTGAATCGTCGTCCAGAGAAAGGATCGGAAAAAGGGTTGCGCGGACGATCGCCGATAGGTACTTACGCCTGGCTGATCGAGTTGAGATTACTTTCTATCGCAGAAATCTGTGTTACAAAAAACTATTAACTGCTTCAGAAAAGTGTCTAGTTTTAATCCTATTCTATTTCTTACCGGCAACGATAAGAAATAGATGATGTCATCATTTGATAACATCATCTAAGTATTTTCCGACTCAGCGTCAGGCTCTTACCGATTAGAAACCGCCCCTTCTTTCTCCTACTTTTTTATGGAATAGGAGGCAAACGAGCAGAAGAATCACCTGATGGTAAGCGATCGGCGCCGCCCATGAACACCTGCAACAACTTTAGGCCGAGGCCGCGTTTCCACAAAGCGCTTATCCCGTTACCCCGTCTGAACATCAGCCCCCGTCTGTGGTGGTCTACTGGCTCTTTGAGGCGCGCGCGGAACGCTACGCGCCGTACGCCTCTCGCCGTTTACAGACCCGCTCTTACGTTGGCCGGAGATCGTCTCTCGGTCCCAATCAGTAAGCTGATGAGGTGATAATCCTGCTCTCGGCCAACGCGGTAAACGCTTTTTCCGTCTTGGGTGGGACAGGAGAGAGTATCAGACTCTTACTGCTTAGGTATAACCACCTCGTTCCTTCTCCTGCTACCATCTCAGCCGCGGTACATCATTGCGCGCTTTCACCCGCAACACCAGTTTTCTGCTACTTGGCACATTTTCGGAAAAAGAGGAGTGGGTTTGTTAGTTTTTCTGGCTTCACATCACACCATGGCATCGACTAATACCTGGCTCGAGAGGTCACCGCTGATCCTTTTCCTGAGAACACCATACTCGGCCCAAGCAGGGCACATCGCCACCGTATGTTCTACCGTGTCCTCCGGATGGTCCTCGCAATTATCGACACCCGGGTGTTTTCTCCTGCCGGATCCGAAACAGGAATCTACCGAAACTTTTGTCTCCGGTACCCTGCACCAGGCACCTGCGTGGCGTTAGGCGGAAGGTGAGGAGTGAGGACGAAGCGGCGTTTCTCTAGCCTACTCAAAGAGGGGTCTTACCGTGTCTATAACAGCGTGCCCGACCCGCAACCCAGACTGGATATCGACCTTATTAAAGCTCATCGTTACTGCTTCGTAAGGCGCGCACGTGGAACGTGAAGCTCCATACGAGTTAAGTCTTGTTCTGGTACAAGGGTAGCTCGCCGTTCGATGACCAGTGACTTGACATCGTCACCCAATCGCCAACGCCCGCAGCGTCTCCTGCGTTTTACATGTTCGCGCGTTCACATAAGAACTTAATTAAAACCGACCACCCCAAGTTTGTGAAATCCAAGTCAACGCGCCAATATCCAAGCCTAAAGAGTTATATGCATTTTCTTTCGGCCTTCCGGAAGAATTGGGACTCCGGTCTTCAATAACGTCGTTTACACAGCATTCACATAATTCTACCAATTTAGTCTTTAGAGCTAGGTACTCGTTTTCCTTTCTTTTTTTTGAAGGGTTCCCTTGTAGGTATCATCCAATGTCTTCTTTCGCCCCTGGGTGACTGGGTGAGGCGAGAGGGAGTGTCAGAATCTTACTGACTAAAAATCCCCCTGTTCCTTCTCCTGCCTTAGGCCGAGGCTGCGGTACCTTATTGCGCTAGGCCCGCAACCCCTGCCGGCTGCCTTCTGGTATCCTACCATTTTACTCTCCTAAGCGTTAAATCATGAACATGGCCGTCATTCTTCACTTTGATCGGTAAAACGATGTTGTGTTTAATCTAGGTAGGTGCATCAATGTCCTGGCTTCAATCCAAACTAGTATTTGCATCAATACTGACTCATGACGACAATGACATCATCCCTCGGGGTGTAAGAATTTTAATGATGCATCCGTTTGTTTATCGGCAAATGCTGTCTATTGTTAAAAATCCTAGTTTCCGTCCGTCCGCGTCATCCAATTAGGCTTACATACTTAGGTATTTATAAGGCAAAATATTTTTGTGAGTAATGTGAGCTGTGCCTATAACTCCTACTACTAGGTAGGTATTGATACCACCACAGATCGGACTTAGACTAATGATTCCTACCGTCTAAATCAAAAATATAATTAAGGAACTGAACAATAAATACTCTAGGTATCTGTTCTAAGAACATCAGTCCATTGAACACGCGGCCCATTCATCAAACGTGACAGTTTTAAAAATAAAGCCGCAGTATCTAGCGGACGGCGCAGCGCCGCGTCGACGCAAGCTGTATCTATTTATCGCGCCATATCTCCCTACAACAATACAGACAAAATAAATAAATGCGCTCGGGCCCGGATCCGGCGACCCTTCTCCACGCACGTAATCCATTCCAAAATGTCCGTTTATTTTTCTATGTGAGCCGCGCTCGGTAAAAAACAACGCGCGTGGATCGACCGAGCACCCGTGCGACAGGGACAGAAACACTCGGCGCCCGAACACCAGCGGGCGGGGCACCGCGCCGCGCGCTGCCATTGGCTCGCTCCGCGCAGCGCCCGCCGCCCGACATCAACAGCCAATCCGACTCCATCTTGTTTCTCACGTCCCGCGCCCCGCGAGGCCCAAAATACCGACCTTTCACGAATGCCAACCCGATTCGATACGACCGAAAATGCCTTAGTTACTTCACGCGCGCACTGTTGACTGGTCGCTTTCGCTCGTTTCTAGCGAAAATAATAACAAACTGGTGTCGGTGTTCTGAACTGGCAGTGGCGCTGTACTTGGGAAGTGTGTTGATACAAGTTGTTCACATTCATCAGCTGATTGATTCAGGTACTAATTATATTTTTATACTCAGTTAAGCCCTAACACGTTATAATTACGGTGGTTTAATTAGTTTTTCGGTATCTGTAAAGAATCGTGAGATACACGAGTGTTTTTGTACCGGATGATCGAACGTAAAAGCGGTGTCCTCGTAATCAACGTAGGCCGTTCGGAGCGGCAACGTCGCGCGTAAATAATAGGGTAGGCGCTCGGTCTTTCTCTCGCAGCTGGCGCACAGCGGCAACGTCGCGCTCGCCGGCTTATTGTGCCTCCACGGCGAGCGCGCGCTCCCGTGCCGCGCCGACACGCCGCTGCGGGGAATCGCCCGCCGGCCGCCAGCCCGCCACCGACTCGAGCGAGACGCATTCACCACGCTCGCTCTGCCAACGCAATATACCTACACTAACGACACGACACCGCGCTCAATCACGATATTACTTTGCATTTCCAATTAAATACTAACTTAGGGTTCATTGCACACTTTCTTTATTACTAAGTAACTATTGTTTACTGCTTATATACTGAGGTATATAATATGTTATATACTTTTTTATGTACTATATAGAATTGCATTTCAGATACCTAAAGATCAAAAATTATAAAAACGCTAGATCTAAGATTACCACACTCATTATAATTCCTAATTTACCGGCTGAGAATAAGTATAAGCGCTGAAAACACAAAACTGATGAAAATAAAACTTGTTTACAGAATATCGAGCGGGTGTTGGCGGACTGGTGGCTCGCTCTGTCGGCGAGAAGTGTACAACAAGCGTGCGGGACGCGCGGGGCAGGGGCATCCTCCCCCTACTTCAGTTTCGACAGTAACGCTGTGAGGAGAGGACGTATCGCTGCGCGCCGCAAAAAGGATCGTTCGCGCGGCAACTTTGAACAGTGACAGTGTGAAGAAGTGTGTTGTGACAGAGAATGTGTATCGGATTGCAGTGCACTACCAAACGGATGCAGTGATTTGGATCGCAATACTTGGATTGCAGTGATTTTGGATTTGAATTTCGTTTTTCAACCAACATTCAAACTGGGGATGCATAAGATGGAGCTCGGTGACAGCGTGTACGCCGCTGAGCGTATCATGAAGAAGAGAATTAGAAAGGTGAGCTTTATTTCTTTACAAAACATTGCCGTAACAGATTCTAACCTTGCGAAACACGCACGCGAGATCACATCGCACGCTTAATAATAAACCGAAATAAGTCAAAATTCAAGGATTCCTACTTTTACTAATAAAATGAACTAATTCAACTCAAAGAATAGGTACAATTCGACAGCCACGCGAAACAAAGTAAGATGGCCGATTTGATGGATCACCCTTCTCTTTCTTACTAAAGCCTGCGACAATGGGTTTCGTGAGATAGTGAATCATTCAGTCTTGGCGCAGCAGCGATGTGAGGTAGACGCTACGTTGTTTTGAAGACGCCGAAGTAACTCGAAATATTTCACTTTATTTGCAAGCGCAAGTAAGTTAATACCGTTTTTTTTTGTTTCTAAACAAGCACGATTTCGATTTATATCAGTTTTGTTGAAAATTGTGTTCTATTATAACGTGCGTTATTAAGACATAATTCAGTGTTTTATTAAATTCCCTATGCATGGTTATAAAATAATATGTTTTAGTGCGTTTTAATTTAAAATTATACCTAACATCCAGGAAATAATAAATTTTATTTCACTTTACTAGAAAAAACTATTGGCAAATTAAAAAAGTTTTCGTATTTGTTTCTGTTTACTTCTAAAATAGCTTAAAAGTTCAAAAGTACTTTAGCAATTACTGCAGTTTATTAAAAACACACAATTTTGTTCTGTTTTATTTTTTTGTAATAAAAATAATAATTTTCCATTTTCGTAGTTGTGTTTAATCATGTCGACGTCTACAATAAGAAAACAGCGATGCCAAAAACTGATTACGATGAGCACTGATAAAAGCTCGGATATGAGATCTCAAACTAATTCTATGTCAACCGAAATAGAAGTAAGTACCTACTATTATAACTTGCATATTGATATTATGTAACTTTCTTCGTAGACATTTTTTTTACCATTTTAGATCAATGAACCAACCAACTACCAGGGTACAGTAATTAACAAAAAGCCTAGGTCTCCGCTCAGGAACTCCAGATCACAAAGCAGGGAATCCAGATACCCTAACAATACGACTAGTTTACACCGCAAGGTGTCCACATCACCCTGCATGGAGGTCGAACAGCTCTGCAGGAAATCCAGATCACCCTACATGAAATCTAGATCACCCAACAAGGAAACCAATTCACCCTGCAAGGAGACGCGATCACCCCGCAGGCAATCTAGGTCGTCCTCGAGCAGCTCTTCAAGTTCATCATCATCAGGCACCACTAATTCGACTTCCTCCAGCTCAGTTTGTTCAAGCTCAGCTTCTACTGGTTTATCTGCGAGGCGATCCTCTTACGATAATGCAGACCAATGCAAGATATTAAGTACCAATAAAAGTGTCAAAGAAGAGAATGCAGGTCAAGTAAAAAAACTTGTCCTTACTGAAAAAAAATGTGAAAGTTACACAGAACCGAGACCAAAACTATCGAATGATGCCGAATTTGAGAGTGATGAAATAATAGAAAATACCCCTACACGTATTATAAAAAAATCAACTACGGTAAGTACTTAGCTATGTATTATTAGTACACTAGCGGACCCGCCCTGGCTGCGCCCGGGCTGCAAATCACATATCAAAACCTTTCTTACAAACTACTCTATCTACTGATGAAAACTGAGTCAAAATCCATTCAGTAGTTTTTGAGTTTATCGCAAACAGACAGACAGACAGACGCACCGGGAGACTTTGTTTTATAATACGAAGTGATGAAATTAACATAATGTTAGATTTATAACTTTTCATCATTTTAGAGTGAAATTTGAATTACCTAAATGGGCAACATACCTACTATGAGTATTATTTATTACCTACTAAATATTATCTAATATTATTAACCAACTATTTCAGAACAAGGACAAAGTCGCACGTACGCCTGGACATGCCATAACCAAAAACTTGGTTTCATATTCTGATTCTTCTTCTGAAGATTCAGACGATAACACTCAACAGCCAAAAGATCGGAACAAGACTGATCTTTCTAACAAAGAGCCTAACTTTGTTGCGTCGGGTTCCACACCACTCCTGGAAGTTGCAGTAAGTTATTTTCAAAATATTATTTTAAAATAAAGTTTGTATAAGAATTTATACTTATTCCTTTCATATTTTAAAATCATTAACACTTTAAACAAATAAATAGCACAAATACAATCAAATAGTAACAAAAAAATTTATAAAATATTTTAATACAACAAAAAATAATAGTTATTACCAATACTTTTTATGTTTCCAGAATCGAACTCGCCCTCAAGTTGATTTTAACTCTACGCCAAAATATGCGATTTCCCCTATATATACAGATGAGAGTGACGTTGATCTGAGTGATGATGATCCTACCTATGTACATACGACTAACTACGGAAATAAACAAAAGAACTTTTTTATTTCGTCGCCATCCAGGTCTTTATCAAGTTCCTGCGATTCTGATGTTTCAAATAAAGAAGTGAAAAGAGGTCGAAAACGAATAAGAGATTCTTCAAAATGGAAGCAGAACAAGGCCAAACGACTTCGTAACAGCGGCCAACCTTACACCTCCGTATCTAAGAAAGAGAAAAGGGTTCCAGGTCGCTGTCTTCAACCGCCATGTACCGAGAAATGCAAACTTAAATGCTCCAATATAATAAGTACGGACACTAGATATGAGTTATTTACATTCTATTGGAATTTGAGTGACTTGTACCAGCAAAGGGCTTTCATTAAATCATCCATGGTGGATATCAAACCAAGGTACCAATATACTAATGCAGAAAATCCCCGAAAGCCAAATAAAGCATATTATTTTACTATTGATAACCGACCAATCAGAGTTTGTAAAACTTTTTTCAAAGCCACATTGAACATTTCGGACCGAATGATATTCACTACACAGCAAAAAACTAATAACAATAACTTTTTAGAAGAAGAATTACGCGGAAAGCATGGAAATCACAAGAAACTTAATCCAGATTTAATAAAAAACATCAGAGAACACATAAACTCCATCCCTCGAATGGAATCGCATTATGTAAGAGCTACTACCTCAAAAGAATATATAGATGGGGGAAAAACAATCAAAGATCTTTATGATGATTTTAAACAAATACAAACTCAGAACAAAAAGGACATAGGAAATTACATGAACTATTACAACATATTTACAAAGGAGTTCAACATATCTTTTTTTCAGCCTAAAAAAGATATGTGCGATATGTGTTTGTCTTACGAGAATTCAACTGCTGATCAGAAAAGAGAGTTAAAAGAAAAATACGACCAACATCACGAAGAAAAGGTACTAAGCAGGAATGAAAAGAAGTCAGACCGAGAAAATATTACTGATAATAACAAAGTCGTCATTTATGATTTGCAAGCTGTGTTACAGTGCCCACGTGGTGACTCGTCAGCGTTCTATTACAAGTCTAAACTCAATAGTTACAACCTGACTGTTACTGAGTTGTCCAAACCAGATAAAAAAGGCTCCTATGACAATGTACACAGCTACTTTTGGACTGAATCTGATGCAAAGCGTGGGGCTATTGAAATAGGTACATGCGTTTGGAAATATTTGGAAGAAGTTAGCAAGAACGCGAAGGAACCACTGAATATTATATTTTATTCTGACAATTGTGCCGGTCAGAACAAAAATAAGTTTATAATGTCAATGTACATGTACGCCGTTTATCTTTTTAATATTCAAAGCATTACACATAAATTCCTGATCCGAGGGCATACCCAGAATGAGGCGGACAATATACACAGTTTAATTGAAAAAGAAGTCAAGAAAACCCTAAAATCTGGCCCAATATACACCCCAGTCGAATACATAACACTAATTAAAAACTCAAAGAAAGGTAACCCTCCAATCAACGTTCATGAGCTAACTTATGATAGTATTATAGATTTCAAACTCTTGCAGTCGGAGTGGGGATTTAATTTTGGAACGGATGAAAGTGGCCAAAATGTCAATTGGAATGAGGTTAAGGTCCTGAAAGTGACTAAAGAAAATCCTTTTGTATTTTACTACAAGACATCTTACAAGGACGAAAACTACAGGGAAGTGAATGTGCGGAATAAACGAAGGAAGATGAAATCTGCCTCAGAGATAAGTTTGAACGCAGCATATACGCAAAGGCAGGAAATAAGCGCTAATAAAAAAAAAGACTTGAAAGAGTTAATTGCAAAAAGTCTCATTCCGTCTCATTACGCCAGTTTTTATACTTCAATTTTTTAAAATTCTAAATAGCTTTATAGCGTAAAATACTTAAGCTAGATTTTATTTGTATTTTTTTTTTGTTATATCCTAGCTATTAATAGCTGAAACATATAAGACTAATTTAAGACTAATAATGGGTAAATCCATTAAATTATGTTGATTTTATGTGATAGCATTTTATGAAAACGTTGTTAACATACATAGTACAAGTTCCTACCTAGTTATATAAGAAAAATGTTAATGCTTTTATATTACGTCTTTGTTTTTATAAAGTTTAGTGAAGCTAGATCTCAAGAGACATTTTGTGATGAATATTATAAGTCTGTATAAGTCTATATTTTAATTTGCGGTTATTAAATGCTAAGTTAGATGCATACTTTGTTAGTTAGGTCGACCAAGAGCAGTTTCAGATCTATCACGCTACTATGTCTGAGGGTACAGCTGGACGTGCTCTTGATTTTACCAACTTATTCAAGTTCCTATATCTAACTATAATTATTATTATGAATACCAAAGCAGTTTTGATAAAACTTTAATGCGAAATACGATTACTATTTGATATTAAAACAGTTTTTCACCAAAAATATTTCTGCATTTTTACTTTCACTTGACTTTTAAACTGTAGTAACTATGAAACTTACAAACAAACTAATATAATTTTCAACACTTAAATGAACTATTAAGGATTTTTTCAAAAACATTTAAACAATTTATTACTATTTTTAATAATAAACTGAATTATTAAGTATTGTTTCAAAAATGTTCAAACAATTGTCACTATTTTCAAAACTAAACTGGCATAAGTCGGAAGTTAAAAACAAAAACTTATTTTATTAATTATACATAAATAATTTTGTTATACTGTTTACTTCTTTAAATTCTATATACATTACCCTACAATTTAAGACCAAGTACTTAAAAATAGTATCGTAAACACGTGAAATACAACAAAAATTTTCCATCAAGGTAGAGGCTCAAAACTTTGATAGCGATTTCCCACAAAAGTGTTTTTTTTACTTATTTCGGTTTATTAATAAGCGTGCGACATATCAGCGCCGGTTCGATTGGTGACTTTATTTGTAAACTGCTTGTTTCGCAACACGCGACCGCTTGATTGTTTTGCTTGCACCGAATTTCAAAACATGCTTTAATAACGCTTTATATAAAATGCATCGCTGCGCATGTTAGTAGTTTACATTTTGTTTATTAATCCCAGTATTGTGACGTGACGGCAGCTGTTCAGAAATTATCGCAAGGGTTTTGTGTTCCTTTTCACGGGTGTTTTTCTATTCTTATTATTATCAAGAGTCCCCTTACATAAGTCTCAGTGCGAAGACTGGGGGCCTCAGTGAGAAACTGAATACTTCTTTATAAATGGTGCCCTTCTCGAGATTATATTAAGTTTTTGACAGTAAACAAGTTTGGACGAGACGTGTGAGGGGTAACCTTCCGATATTGTAATATGCCTTTTTTCATTATCTTTTTGGAGCCGTTCCCCGTTACTAACCTGATCCTGATATTGATAACAATAAATTCTGCTTTTTGGTTTTGATTTTTTATTTGTAACTGCATGTCGGGTCACATGGGGATTCATTGTCAGTCGTCGATTGTGTAACGGGTCTTTTGATGCAGGAAATGTGTTGATTATACAACTTACCGTGGTATCGTCTGTCCTATCGTGGTTTTTATTGAGGAGACGAATTAGTACAGTTGATCGATCACTAAATAGTATTGAAAACATCTATAGCAATCGGCTGACTGAAATGAATCTCACTATTGTCTTTGATTTAAACAACAGCGTTGTCATCGAAGGTAAGATCTGGCGAAGGTGATTATAAGGTAAGTGCAGTCGATCATGTGGAAAGGTTTGCCATTACGAAAACATAGCACTGGACAGAATAAGGACAGTTACACAATATTGTAGTTAGGTACAGGACACTGTTCCAACATTCCTTACTCCTGTCACCCGATGTCAAAAGCAAAGACATTTATCTTGTCTGTGACGGTTTTACTTTTTGTAATATTACTCTCCGACTTGTCGATAATATTTTGTCTATCTAGCAAATATGTGTTTCTTAAAATCTCCTAAACATGTTGATAAGTATGGTCTTTGTTGATATTGATGTATCTCTATACTATTCATTCGTCAAAATAAGTTCATTCTTTATTTATTTTTGTCTACACTTTTAATGTTTTCTGTAATCAATACCTACTTCTTATTTTCGTATTTTGTTTGACTTATAAACCGTTCAAGTTATAAATAATAAGATTAATAAAACCCATAGTAGGTACCTGGTTTATATTTTGATAAGGTTTCTTTTACGCGTGAAAAATGGCAAGCCTTTTCATCATTGGTGTAGGTATTTAGAATAAGTTTCGTTTGTACCAAAAGACCAGTAGTTAATTCTGTAATATTGTTGTTTCTATCTCGATTTTTTTTTTCATTTAGTGCAATATTATAAACTCATCGTGATTACAACTTTGGTTTGGTTTTTTGATACATACAATAAGTAGTTACGTTTTTAACCATCTTAATATGAAAAAGGAGATTTTCAATGTGTACTATACGTGGATTGACAACTAATTCTCTTAATCCTGGATTGACATCTAAAACTGGTCATTGAAAAAAGACAATTTGGTCTGTAGGTAGATTTTTTTAGCTTGTCTTGCTATTATAACAAATAAGTGCAATAAGCTTCTTAAAAACTAGAAGTTATGATGAAATTTAAAATCACTCTTATAGTTTTCTCTTGCTTAAGATTTAGACAAATCTATCACAAGTATCTTCTATTACATAAACAAATGACTAACGATACCTACATAGCCCCATAACTTCGTAAAAGACCAAAGAGAAAAACTTCTACTTCGGCAATCGTCAAAGTTTAAATACCTTCATAATGATATTTCGACAATTTGAATGTCCCTAAAATGTCTGCTAAATAACATCGATGTCTATTTATTTTACGTAAGGACAAAAATGTTTATTAGTTTGTCTAAAATTTCTGCTAAGTCTGTCACGTAAATGTTTTCTAAAACGTCTAGACTTTTGAGGAGACTATGACCTCTTAGGTTGCCTCTCTTTTCTTCTCAAAGAAACGTCGATTTCATATCTTTGTGAATCCATTCGTAAAATATTAAAATAGCCATTTCTATAAGTGCTATATCTTGGAAAAGTAATCTCTTATTGAAATGTCTGATCACCTTATATTTGAAGTTCTAATCTTAGGATTAATTAGTTTTGAAACCAAAATTTTATTCTTGTTATGAGGGACTTTTCTTGAAATCCTAAGCTTCTTGAAAACGAGGTATCTTTATACCACTTCAAATCACTTAACCGTGCATCGTTACTTATTGATTTTAAATTATAAGTATTCTACCAAAGTTTCAATTTTAATAAGACGACAAAGTAAATTCGTATTAGAAATAGGACAACTTATGTATAACCATGTATAACCAAGTCGTAATAAAAAAACCTATCTTCTATAAATTAAAATGAATACGTTTTTAATTAGTACGACTTACCCGCATTATTGTTAGACGTTCTTATACGACTAGTTTCAAGTCAAGCCTGGAGCCCACAACCATGAGGTTGTAAAGCGTATTTAATAAGTCTCACGTTAGTAATAGGTACATATTCATTTCAAACACCCTTTTTAAATGATAATATACAATCGTTTCTGAGATCTATGCATCCCCAAAGAATCCCCATAAACGTACCTACCTATTTACAATAATACCACAAAGAGCAATTTGCACAAGATTTACTCTGCTTTTGAACCATTTTTTGCTATAGAAAGTCAAAAAAATGGGGAAAAATTGTACCAGGATTGTATATGAGATACGAGTTAAAATGGAACAGTTTTAAAACCCTAAAATTCTATGCAATATTTCAATGTCGTTCGAAAAAAGGAAGTTTTCCTAATCTTAGTCTTAATAGATTAATTCTACTTTGTAGTTTTGAGTATGTAAATCAAATTATCAACTGGATCCATTGCTTGATATTAAAAATTTCATATTGAGTTTCATTTCATTTTATATTGAGACTATATGTACTTTTTTTCACAAACGACCAATGAGTAATTTGGCTAATCCTCGCTCGTTATTGATTTATTGCAAACTTACAATAAGCTTACCTTATTGTTGAAGAAAACCTAAAGTCCAAACATTGTTTTATAGCTACCCTAACAAAGTACTGGCATTCTTAAAGACACTATCTTGCTGCCAGGACTAAAAACTCCCATCAAAGTAACTCTTCCATTCTATTAACGTCTACACTGCATCTCCGAAAATAGCACGTTTGATCCTAAATTAGCTCTCTTCGCCATTTGTAACACGCTACTAAAAATACTTGGTTCATAACAAACGGAATGCAACACGTATATAAATATCACGTGCAACTGATTGATTGAAAGAAACAATCAATTACACGAACGGCCACAATTTCACTACAATCCATTATTTTGATAGCTCTCATGCCGCCAAAAGTTTCCGACGCCCGCTTACTAGCGCCCGTGGCAGTTTTAGGAAACTACTTAATATCAAAACAAATTGAATTCTATATTAAAATTGTCCATACCACCAACTCAATAGAGCTCAATTTCATTTACAACGCACTCGACTTGTTATCTGCCACCGTGGTCTAATATAAACGAAAGTTCTTGAAACAAGCCATTCTATGTTTTAGCACTTGAGCGTAAAGCGTAAATTCGTTTAACCACCGGTCCTCAATAAAGAAACTCCTACAGAGCTCTGTAGCCCTGGTATCTCGAAGCAAACGCGCCAGTATTCGGCTTCGACCGAGCGGCCGTCGAGGTGCGCATGCTCCCCGCCGTTTCGTTCGGCCAATCAGCGTCGAGTAATATTCCGGCCGACGAAAGTACCGTAGTGTGTTGCAGCGATACAAATTAAACCTAAGTTACTTTTTTATACGTATTTTTTCTTATGGTTTTTTTATTTAATTATACATACTTATAAGTTAATTGATGTGAAGCCACAACTTGAATGTGTAACTAGCGCCACAATTACTTCTGATCTTACCCTGCAATCTGTTAGCCAACTGTCGTACTACATAGTTCCAAGGCTATTTGTTAGATGGCGCTATTTTGCAATTACTAAAATAAAAGCCGCAGCTTTTTTTTAAACTGGATACCTAAGATTTTTAACATAGCCTATTTTAAGATTGAGAACATATTTTGAAGTTAAATAAAGGTTTATTCCGAGACCAGAAGAGGAACTAAATGTTAAAGACACTATTAATAAATTGTATAGGAAGCATGGGAAACATAATTTTATATCGGTACCCATATCATTTGAAGGTATTAACGGCCTTTTCCTAAAACGTATAAAAAATGAGAAGGCGCAAAAAATAAGCCGTTACAGGGTCACGGCATGGTGGTGCGGATAATAATTTGAGACTCGTCCGGAGTGTGCACTCGGAAGCGGCACAAAGCGACCAAATTTTCTATAAATAATCGCTTCACAATGCCACACCGTAATTTTATCCATCCCTGTATTGGAATGAAATAAAAAACTGACAAGGGAACAGAGCGATCTGTCGAGACGACCGACCCGTTTATTCGTTGAATAATGTCTTAATATTTCAGTTCAAATTTAAAAGTGTCTTAAACGTTCTGTGTAGTAAGCTAATGTTCTGCTTTCCCTAGTTAGAGGGTATTACCTTCCTGTAACTGCCCTCGAACCTAAAGTTTCTGATAGGCATTTAGATAGTTTAGAATGGGAGCTTTGGTAAACCAAATGTGTTTCTAGAGTGTATTAACTTCTGTATTCATTTAGGGATAAAAATACAAAATTGCTATTTAATATGAAAATAGAATATATAGAATAGGAAAATGAACCAAAAAACATGTTCAGAGAGAACACAACCTTTTCAATTCCACAGACCTTAGTCTTTATAACTGAATAGACACTCCAACTTATTGATGATTATTACCTACCCACAGCCACAAAATAAGGCAAGTAAAATTTTATGACCAGAGAAGTAATAAAACAGACCCCAAATAAATTTTAGTGTCGCGGCTACTCCAAGGATGTCTGTATGATGCATCGCTAAACATAAATTGGGGCTTATATACTGTCTACGTAGGTAAAACAACCCCTCGGAATATAAAAAAAAACTACATAAAGGGTCCCCTATATTTAGAAAGCATACTTAATCGCATGCACGTACGCTCCGAATATTAAAGTACAACGGGGGGAAGCGTCATATGGGGACCCACACAATTAAAGCTGAGTCTGCATTGTCTCATGCACGCCCGCGTTCCGTTACACCACAACCAAATGCCTCTATCCACAACGACCCATCACACTATTAAAACAACGCTGCAATATGGAAATGGCATCTTTCGAGTCACCTTACAGAACACTCTAATCGATTTTATTCCAATCGTTTCTTGAACTCTTTATCACCAACATTGATCTGTAGGTACTTCTTAAAACGTCCGCATTATTACGGTACTGAGCTGAATATGGACACCGTTACAGGAGTGAGGAGCCACATAAAAACGCGGAGACAAGTTGGCGCTTGGCGCTCCGCTGGCGTCATTATAATAATGCGCCTGTTGGCTCGCCGCCGGTCGTTATGCCCCACGCATTATTATGTAAATGTAAAACGAAAAGGAAAGGACGGTGGTTTTTGTAAACCTTTATCTGATCCAGATAAGGATGGTAATTAGAGAAGGATATAGCGGGTCGCCGCCGCAGGTGAGATGTTCCCACGTGATGCCACATTTCTAGCCATTGTTCGACAGTGAAATCGCGTTCATTAACGAACGACACGCCACGAGGCCTACAATTATTTTGCACTTTAATTTATATCTGAAATGGACGTCACTTGTCGTTGTCGTGTGCATGCAACACGTCTCAAATAACAACAATATTTGCACATTGTTTAATACGTTCAATAACAATGGAATGTAATCAGTTACGCAGTTATGAAGGGTAGACGAGGGTATCACAAAATATTTGTTGTCTCCCGAGGCACCCCAACTCTGAACCACCCGCTCGTCATCATTGTGTTTTTTTTCCTTTTATCTGGCGCAGAGCCCTTATCTCGGTTTTGCCGTGGGGTGTGATCTCACTTAATTGAGTTATTACTAACGTATTTATTACCGGATTATAATTAACGTCCCTGTCGTCATATCAGATCCTTTCATCAGACGATAACTGGTCTTATACTTAGTAACCTGCTCGCATCCTGAAAATGGTTACATTAACTTATTTTTTTAGTTCTTCTGAGTTAGAAATCCCCTAATTCAGCAAATGTTAAATTTAACGATTGCAGCGACGACCAGGCAATTCTCGTCGCCTCCCCCCGGCTTAAACTAGTCACAAGTGTTTGCTCTCCGACTTGGCCACAAGTGGCGAGGGTCGGAAGCCCCTTTGTGTCAAACGAGGGACCTGCTTACCTTGCCAGAACCGGTAATTTGTACAAATACTCCCTCGAAACGTGTGCACACTAACTTACATGTATTACAGAAACGCTACCTAGGCATAAATTCGCATGACGCTAGAAGAATTTGTTAGATCGTTGCCTCAATTTTTTCTGTTAAGTCTCCACCAGTGAGCGTGAAGATGTCGATGACAATCGGTAGTTCACAAGTACGTCGATTTAATTGTCCCTGAGTCGATGACCGTGCGACCGCTAAGCACAGTCGCTCTGCATTACCGTTTTGCTATACCGATATAATTGTACACTACGGTTTCTGCCTTTACTACGCTGTCTGACGTGCTCCTATTGAAATTAAAATAACCTCTAAAACTGCACATGACAACATCTTTCACAATATCATTATCCTGAAAAAATCACAACTATTAAAAAATTAAGTACGAATGTGTACGATCTCATCTGGCGTTACAGCAAGCACAGTCATAACTTATTCAATTCACACCTTCGTATAAGAAAAAATTTATCATTCATTCATTGAACCCGATAATAGTAAACATCGAGAGCACGATACGTCCGCCCAGCAGCATAATCGGCCGTCGACTGACGCTCGGCACGTCTAGTCTCGTGTGTTTGCCGCCGTTTCGCCGGCCGGCCGACAGACTTGCTTACCTTGTCTGACATATCAATTTTCTCTTCGCACACACAGCTCTGGTTTCAACCGTATACTTCTCAGCGTTTCTGTGCTCCTGGTATTTATGTTACGAAAGAATACGCGCGATATTGCGCTGAACTGAACCGAGAGAGAAAAAAAACTTCATCCTTTAGAGTTGTTATGACGTTGATTACTTTTTTACATCGGCGACCGAGGAAAACTTTTTATTGTGGTTTATGTCGCATTGTCTTGGTGAGTTTATGGTTTCGTGAAGCCAGCCTGACCGAAACTATCGTAATATAAAATGTCGATATATTCGTCTATTCAAAGTGTGTCTAGTAATTTATTTAGCGGTGTGAGGGTATGCATACAGAGAGGTTCGCATAATATCTTGAATGCATGGCAAATGGACGCTGATGGGTACGTCACGTCCGGCTCCACGGAGGTCCGTACGTGGCATGAATAAACACGAGCGTTGTCCGGGGTGTGAACTCGTCTAATTTAACCCGTTTGTAATGCTCGACGCGAGCCCGACGCCACGACCAACTTGTATCAAAACTAATTGTTCGCTCAATAAGGTGTCTCTGCTATCTATCTGGCGCTTTGTGTGTATAGGTATGGATAATTAAATTATCAGCTTAACTTCTTAGCATCTGTTCTTATCAAATATATCCGAATTCTTCAACAAAAAACTCTTTTGAAGCGTCGACGTCTCCAATTCACCATTGAATGAAGTTTAGTGATTGTTCCTGTCATTAGGGCCTGTATCTACCTTAAAAGCAACGGCATGACCCCATTAATCACAGAAGTACACAAAAATGAAGCTAATATCAAATAGAAATCGACAAATCGTCTCGAACGCCTGTGAAAAATGAATCACGACATCGTTATTGCGCCAATCGCCCGAGGCTCGACCCGACTTTCATCCTGTCACTTTCCACCTTCCCTCACCCTCCCGATGGGTCCCTCCATCCCTTTTAACGCTTCGAGACTCCCCCGGTCTACGAAATTAAACGCAGCAATTGAATTATACTCGAATCTACACCATCGGGACTTTAAATATTAAGCCTGTTATTGCTTGCTGTAATACTGTCTCAAGTGTTTCTGATATGCTTTATAGGAAGTAAGCACATCTTAACAACAATGCACATTGTGGAATGCATTTGATAATTAGTGCTGCCAGAAGTTTCAAAATTACTGTCGATATGCTTCTGGAAGTTAAACATCCAACAAAACAACGGGAATTTTGCAGCCGAATCGATATTATTGATACACTAACAAGTACATACAATCGTTCGTCCTCTTAGTGAGTCCTAATATAAAAACGAAAATGGCCGCGGCTCCTGTATACCATACCTAACTAAAACTTCGCTAAGAAAGTTAATACTAGTAACACCCATAAACATTAGACCTGTTTTATAATGTCTGAATAACCACGATGTGCCAGATAAACTTGAAAATGGAACGTATTTCATACAAACTTTATGCTACATAAGTTTATCGGATGCATACTTTATGAAGGCAGTGGAAATGACTTCAAAATAAATACGAACTCTAAGAATTGGACTTCTGTTAACGAAGGTACCGTGTTACCGAAGCGAGGGTGTTAATGAACACTCGAGGTGGGTCGTGCGTACATACGTCACGCTTTCTGCCATAATTCCCTGAGCAGTCACGCATCCCAAATAACTGTCTACTGTCTACTAAATTACTATTGTGGTCCTTGATTCCAAGTGGTTTCTTTCCGTCCTCAATCTTACTATCCGAACCTTATCTATACTTTATATTATAAAGCTGTAGATTGTTCCTTTGTTTGTTTGAACGCGCCAAACTGTGGAACTACTGGTTCGAATTGAACAGTTGTTTTTGTGTTTGTTTGTCCTATTTTCGAAAAAGACTATAAGCTACAAAACATCGCGCTACGACCTAAAGAAGCTGAGCTATGGGTAAAACCATGTGGGAGCAGCAAGTTTGTATATATAAAATGAAGTATATTTTGATTCAGACCTGGACGAAATACCTACTTAGAAATTCCACATCACTCCAAGATGCGTAACAAAGGTTTGCGGATCATATAATAGAGAAAAGTTAGTTTAGGATCGTGATAAAGAATCACTACCGAAAAGTTTGATTTAAATGCGTCACGTACCTAGTACTCTTAGTATCATTATACTTTAAAGGGGATCTACAAGTCCTAGCATATTAGGACCCCTGTACTTAGAAAGAGTGCCTTTAATCAATTATTCTCCTATTATATTATTCTTCAATAAAATCCAAATAATATTCTTCACATCGTCTTTACTCTCTATTTATTGCTTTAAAGTACATCATCAGCCTATAAATGCATGCTGAGCAAAGACCTTTTCTAGGTAACACGAAAAAAGCTTGAGCGATTTCTAACTTGAAACAAAAACGTTTGAGAAGCAGGCGCCTTAACCTACAGTCCACCACGACATCAAATCAAATACTTGTCATTTGAATAGATCCTCAAAAAACTCATTGAAACACAAATCTTAGTTTATCATTGACCCAATTCATATAATTAACACTTGATAGTAACCAAAAATACGCCTCAACTGCAGCCCAATGGAATTACGATTCAGTGCTAATTAGTGCAGCCGGATCGAAATTAATTATTCCTACAAATTGTGAATACTGTTCGAATTCCGGAGCAATTAAAGCTATATCGTATTCCGCCATTATTGGACTGATCTCAAATTCGCTATGAGGAGTTGATTATTTAATAATTTACATTAACGTGCAGTGGAAATAGGAAGTTTAGGAGAGTGACTTATATGTCTTCACCCAAGTGAACCCATTAAGTCAATAATACCAATAAATAAGTAATATTTAATTGTGAACAAACATATTCATAATAATTACACCCATACATACCTGCAGGTCACACTGAGAATCTCCTTTTTAAAGTCGATGAGAAAGTAGTTAATAATTGCAAATCTGTCATTTCTATTCTTTGAAAACCTAATTAGTTCGTATCCTACATAAATTGCCCTAGAAGACTTTCCATGGTTGAAACACGCATTTATTTTTATTATCCTTATTTTTACCTATTTTGAAACTTAAATCGTTATATCATAGCTATAAATCGAATAATTCAACTTCCATTCGATTAATCGTAAATAGCAGTAAAAACATAGACAATATCGGTGGTTTTAATCGAGATGGGCATCGTAGGACCCTGCTGCCCTACGAATAGCGGTTTGATTTAAATTTCGTATCCATCGCCGCGTTCTTTCTCTTTCCTTTTTTTTTAATCACACGGACAATTTTTCGAACACGAGCCTTTTTGCTTCAGGCTATAAACCTAAACGGTTTAATTACAAATGGATAAAGGACATTCCAAAAAAGGGGGTTATTCTTATAGAAGTTATGTATGTTACTTCTTTTGAGATATTGCAAGTTTTTACAAGGAAATTACGATATGTTTACGGTAAAGTAGGTATTTATTAAGTTGTCTCCATTATTTCCGTTGACATTTAAATTGTTTACATAGCCAATTAATTTGTTGATCGCAACATTGTAACACACAATTTAATTGATATTTCACTTGATACTTATAGGTACAATGTTTTAAGCGTCGTCACTTAATTACACAATGATGATTAGGTACCTTTGATTGCATTTTCCTTTTTTTAATTGATTGTTAATGTATTTATCTACGTACCTACTTTCTGTAGGCATTTTTAGACTAGCCAGGGTGCTAGAGATAGGTTATCCATGGGCCGCTCAAATCGCTTACCATAAGGAATTTTAAGACCCATTAAGACTTAGATATAGACAAGTAATAAGCAAGTTTATCAATAACGACCAATGTGTATCAGTATGTAATAAAACTGAAATAAACTACTCAATATAACAGTCAATTTGCTTAAACAAACCCTTTTACGGCACAACGGCACCGCAGCCGTTCCGGCAATTTGAGAGTATTCGTGTCTAAACGGATGATCGGTCCCGGGTGGGGTACGGGACGGACTCGAACCATTAATCTAACCCTCCCCGGCCCTTTGCCAAGGATCGGAGAGAGCTTCGCACAATTTGCCGTAACTTGATGAATGGTCCACTGCAGTATTAGCCTCGTTTTGACCATGTCTGCTGTACCACTATGTAATAGATAGTAAGTTTGCCAAAATTTGTTTTGAGTGGAGTGGTTTTAGGGAAGTTTATAAGTAATGCTATCGCCTTGAGTAAGCGTGGTGATGCTAAAATCTTCTCCGTATGAGAAGGGGTCTTATAGGCTAGTGATGATGATCTAGGTTATGTTGTTGGTAGTGATTAGGAATGTTTTGTTTGTAATGAAATTACTTCATTTTATACATTTCGTGTGGGGAAAAAATCTCCCTCTAGAGAGCAAGACAGGTTTGGCCTGGTCTGGCCTTTTTTAAGTGTGTGTACCAAAAGTACCTATACATATGTGTTCTCAGAAAGAAATTTCGAGGCAATGACTGTAAAAAAGACATTGAAGACCCTTACTGACTAAGTATACTGATTAAAGCTACTGAAGTTTCTAAGAAACTTGCATGAGGTAGGTATACAATCACGAGTGCCCATCAATCAAAACCAGTATAACTTGACCGTTGAATATATAAAAAGATCATTCAAAGCGAGATCATGATAAGCTGGTTTTTCAAACTAAGTAGTTGTAGTTTTGTGAAGCAAAAAAAAGACTCATTGTCTTTTTCAAAACAATTATTATTCTTCATTTTAAGTGTGGGAGAGGCATGCTTCGGCACTAATGTATTGACTCGACCGGCACTCCTCACAGTAAATCAGCGTGAAAACCACAGCGTTGTTTCGCCGTATGAGTGAGGTTACCGAAGGCGCAATACTTTCCCTTCCCCAACGCCAACATCTCCAAATCCCTAATCCTCAAAAGGTCGGCGACGCACTCGTAACTCCTTTGTTGTTGCGGATGTCCATGGGCGGCGCTGATTGCTTACCATCCGTTAATCCGCTGGATTGTTTGCCGTCCTATCACATAAAATAAATATCTCTGAATTAACTAATCGATAATTTACATCGACTAGCTTAACGAGCGTTATCAAACGAGCGATTGTTTAAAATCGATACCTACCTACGTAGGACAAATTCCCGTTGGTAGATATAACTCGATTTAGTAGTTTACTTCGCTTTCAGTTTTGTAATACTGAGTTCAAACTTGGAGCATACAGTTGCTGGCACTGTTCCAACAGTACTAACATTGTTTAGTTCCCTATCCTACCGTCTCCTCTATCTAACTACAATTTAACATAATGTTAAAGGTATTTTGACGGATTAGCTCGTCATTATGAATGAGGTCCCTTGGCGTAGATTCTCGAGTGTTTTCGAGCTTTTGAACAACATCTGTAGCACTAAGTCTAAGATTATGCACAGTGTTTAGAGTTAGAATTGCCCTTTTTTGAGAAGGAAAATAATTAAATTGATTCTCTTGCCCGCGGTGGGGTAAGAGAGTGTCAGACTCCTGCTGACTAAAACTGCTCATTCTTCTGCTCCTGGCTGGAGCCGCGGCACGTTGAACTTGCACCTCCAACCCCGAATCGTCCTTATTACATGAAAAACATAAAGAAGCGAACAAAATAAAATATTCTATTTCAATTACTATATGGAAAATATTATAAAGTTAACTTAAAATATTCTTCAAGAGGTACTCCTAAGTACCAGTTTATCATGGTCTTGGTTTATATGATGTTTTCGCAGATTCAAAGGTGAGATTATACTGGTTTTGTTTACTCAAACTTGTAGTCGTGGGAATATCGCACAGTAATATTTTTGATAGTTTTTAATTTGTGGTGTAAATTTCTGTGCCTTACCTTTTTTGTTATTATCAACCTCAATGAGGAATCGAGGCATTCACTCAGACGGCTAGTCAATCAAGCCGTTGGTTGGATGGCTAATTAACCTTAAGACGGATGTAGATAGGTATGTGCACGAGGAGCTATTTAGCTAGAAATTTTAATTTTTAATTATTTTGTACGCGTAAAGTCAAAACCTGGCAAGTACCACCAGTTTATACAACACTGACGGTAAAGGAAAACATCGTGAGGAAACCTAGACTTACAATTTTTAAGTATAAGTTTGCAATTACCAATCCGCCTTTAGCAAGCGTGCTGATTGATACTCAAACCTTTTCCGTGTGAGAAGAGGTCTTTGTTCGGCACTGGGCACTGAGGCTGATGATGTGATGTATACATCTACCCCCTCTAGGGAACAAGAGCCTAGAATACAATAAAATAGATATTTATTTCCGTGTCCACATCTAACTTTTTTCCTACATTCCCATCCCCCTTCACAACTTCCTTAGCACAATATTAAAAGCCATTCTAACACGATCGTTGTAGATTATTGTGATACATTAAAATAAAAGGGGGAATGAAGGCAAGATTTTATTAAAGAACGTGGGTGAGAAAGAAATAAAAGTGTCACATCTGTGTGTTATTGTTCCGTGATAATGTTAGGGAAAAGATTGGGCTGATGTTGTGGGAAGATATTGGTTTTTTTCTTTATTTAATCCGTTTGTAGATTGTGTGTTTCGTTGTAGGTACCGAAATAAAAATTACTCACAAGGGTTTTTTCTTTTCTCTAAACTCTTCAAAAATTTTCATAATCAACTTTTTGGACCTTGATATAAATGTATTGTTTACTTCCGCCTGCGGCTTCACCCGCGTTGTATGTTGATAAAAAGCCTATATCCTATTCCGGAGTGTATCCTATGCCTGTGCCAAATTTCTTCTAGACCCGTCCAGCAGTTTTGGCGTGATTGAGTAACAAATCTCGAAACATCGTAACTTTCGCATTTATAATATGAGTAAGATAAGATGGGTAGGTGAGGTAGGTAGGTACGAAGATTCATTAAAAGTGTAGTAAGTAATTTCTATGATATTACATTACAAAGACAGTCACAGTAATTTTAAAGAAAGTATTCATCAGTAAGTACCTATTACCTACCAGTAGTTTACCAACATTTGTTTACCCAAATCGCTTACCGAAAACCCAGTAGGTAATTTAGCAAAAAGGTATCTAAATATTTGAATAGCTAGGCGCCATCACACGCTCTATTGGTTCCTAAATAGCAATAATTTACCACAATCTTATCGCTAACATACTTATTTTTATATGCCATATCTTATCTTTTAGAACTAGCTATTCTCGCACGGTTTTACCCGTAGCGTGATGTTTTATAGCGTATAGCACTCAGAAACATTGTAGTTATCTATCAGTGCAAGAATTTTGGCAATCCGACAAGCGGTTCCAAAGATTTCTCCCTACATACAAACTTACAAGTTTTACCTCTTTATAATATTAATATAGATAAATACTTAAGCTATTTACTACCTAAGCTATTTACTCAGTTGTACTGTCAATATTTAATATCGATAGTTACCTATTAGTTCGATATGACCACTCTCTTTTCTTGAGGAGGGAAAATCATCATGTCTTCTCTCGCCTAAGGTATGGCAAGAGGAAGTGTCAAACTCTTACTGACTAAAATCCCTCCGTTCCTTCTCCTATTCTATCTTCGTTTTAAATCGTTTTGGCAATCCTACTTATTGATGCAAAAAAATCTTACAGAATAAGTTTGTGTCTTACTTAGATACTAATTGTAACTTCGATTTCAATCGAGAATTTCTTGGTAGATTTCAGATTTGACAGGAATTCAACAAACTAGACAGCTAGTTCGAATTGAACAATTCTTTTCATCTCAGATACATTTCATTTAGGTATTGGTTTAAGGTTATTAAGGTATTAAGGTTAGGTATAGTTTATACCTAAACATAATGCTGTTATGCATGTGTTTGTATGAACGCAATTAACTCAAAAACTACTGAACGAATTTTATTAGATTTTCACCAATAGATAGTGTGATTGTTAAGGAAGGTGTGTAATGCACTTACATACGGTTCTTATCACGCAGCTAAAAATAAATAAAAAAATAAAGCTAGTTGGTAATAAATAAAAAGCGGTTAACTGCATAAATTAGAAATGGACAAAGAAATTATGTGCCCGCATATTGAAATAAAGCGGTGATTGTAACTAGGGTTATAAATCATTTAAACGATCCATGTAGATTTGTTAAGGTTAAATAATGATCGTATGGGTTAATTATTAACTGGTTGAGTTACTGTTAACCGTATGCTGAAAGAACGAAGGGATTGGAATCAAAACGGGAACCCTGTTACAAAAACCTGTCGGTCTGTCTGTCTGAATTAGGCGTATCTCATGAATCGTCTCATGACACTTGCGTGCCTGTCCTTAGAACTGGTCCACTTAAGGGCAACGCAAATAGAAGACGGCGAGACGAAGGTACGGTACAGACACGGCGCAGATACGGTGCAGGCGCGATATCTGCGCAAACAGACGCGGGGACGATACGGCACAGAGTATTATTATACAAGGTGCTATTTAGTGGAAATAACATTTAATACACCTCCTTTCGGTTTTTTTTCGAATACTAATTCCCTCCTTTTGTATCATTATAATTCCTATGTACAGTCGAGAGCACATCAAGTGTAACATTGCGCTACGAAAGCCGCCACTATTACAAGTGCAATAAAGGCGTGCTCAAGGTCAAACTGTATAGCTTGATGTGCTGTCGACTGTACTTATGTTTGCAATATGTAACCGCTATGTTTGCTATTTAACTACTTTAAAGTACGAATAACATCGAAATACATAAATCAAATCATAATAAGTTAAATTACATCGGATTTTCATTAAAATCATGGATTAAGGCTGATTTACATTGATACAGTAGCTGGCGCCAGCTACTGTATCAATGTAAATCAGCCTTTAAATATCCATATGGACGAAAATTTGAACAGTTTAAAATATATCGCTACGTATCTTTGTTCATACTGTATATAATGCGAGACGCCGCTTGCGCCTACATCTGCTGGCGACGTGGCGGGGGGCGAGGAGCGGCGTGCCTGCGCCGTCCGCTTGCCGCCTTCAGTCACGAACAAAAGATAACGCAAGACGCACGTCGCTTCGTATACAGGATGCGTGACGATATTGAGTTTAATATTGAGTTTTGCGAGTTAATTGAGCAATACCCGAATATCTATGACTACACTAAGACAGGGTACAGTAACAGAAATGTGCAAGACAAAATATGGCAAGAAATAGCAATAAAAGTCGGTGCAACAGGTATGTATTTTATTTAAATTTTAAACATTATGTCTAGTCTGAAACGGAATCGGAGATCGTTGTGTTAGATATGTTGTAAGATATTCCCTGATATGGTAGGGATTTTCTCCCATTAATCGCATGTTAATGTTTGCTCCTATCAAATTATTTCTAAACCGTGGATTTGATTTTTTACCATCACATGTGCGAATTACGTTATGCAACACACACATTGCTTTTATAATATTATCAACATATTCTGGTTTGCAGCAAATAGGCGTGTAAAGTCCACCAAACTTTGACGCTAACATACCATAGGCACATTCTACTGACTTACGTGCCCTTGACAACCTGTTATTATAAGCTCTTCTCTCATTAGTCAATTGATTTCGACCATATGGTCTCATAATATTTCTTTTTAGTGGAAAAGCTTCATCTGCCACAAAATAAAAGGGCACATTCTGTGTTTCTCCAGGCAAAGGTGTAGGGTTCGGTAAATCGAGATCGCCTAGATCCATAGCTTGTCCAAAAGAGCTAACTTGTAATACTCGCCCATCACTATTTCGGCCGTATTCACCAACATCTATAGTTAAAAAGAAACCATCTGCATCTACAACTGCTAACAATACAATAGAGAAATATCCCTTATAATTTATGAAAGTCGAACCCGAGTTGATGGGCGCTGTAATTCTAATATGCTTTCCATCTAAACTCCCAACACAATTCGGTAAATTCCAGAGAGTGTAAAACCGTTCAGCAACTTCTACCCATTTTTGTCGTGTAGGTACAGGCATATATTCCGGCTGTAGGCATTCCCACAAAACGCTAGAGGTTTCATGCACAATTTGCCGGACGGTACTGCCTCCTCTCAATACATATCCAGAAAGTGATGTAAACGAACAGCCATCTGAGTAGTATCTGTAACAAAAATAAAATAGCAATAAGTATGTAACATTTGTGTGTTTAGATTGAGGTGCCACTTTTCGCATCGTAAAGTGGCTAATGGAGTTATTTAGTAGTAGTTTAGAAAATTTTGTAGAACGGATATTGGATTTTGTATTAGAATACTTCAAAAGTTAAATGAATATAAAGGTGGCACCTCAATCTAACTGTTTGCATTGAGGTGCCACTCAGAACTGGGAAAATTATGGATGAAATTTTATCAAAATTTTGTATTATTTTGTAGTACTCCAGAATTCTGGAGTACTACGAAATTTTGATGAAAACTACTAAATAACTCCATTAGCCACTTTACGATGCGAAAAGTGGCACCTCAATCTAAACACACATTGTAACTAATCTCCTTAAATATTTTTCAGCCCAAGAATGTAAAGAACGGTGGAAGAATATTCGATGTAGTTACAGCAAAAACAAGAAAAGGCTAGATTTGCCATCTGGATCAGGTGCAAAGACGATTAAAGAGTACTACCTTTCACCACATCTACATTTTTTAGACAATTACTTGAAGTCCCGACCAACCAAAAGCAATCTAAGCAAATATGATTGCACAGACGGTAATGATAGTGAAGAAGTCGATGAGACACTGTTTACTGGTCAACTAGCTTCTGAAAACACAAATTCGGATTCCATCTCCAATCAATCCACGCCAACACCGCCACTGCTACCACTATTAAATAAATCTAGGGCAATCTCGATAAAAGATGTTAATAAATCAGCACATGAATATTTCAGTCAAAGAGCATTACAAATGAAGACCATACATAGAGCTGAGCCTGAAACAGACAGCGATCTAGCTTTTTTTCAAAGCATGCTTCCAGATATGAAATCAATGACACCAGCCCAAAAACGAAGATTTAAAATGGGCGTTCTCAATTTATCAGAGCAAATTTTAAATGACCCAGTACCTAGTTATCCTAGGACACAGCCGTATTATCCACGAACACCTTCTCGAGAGACAGATTATGATCCTAATGAAGGTGCAACCCAGCAGACTCTTACATCCAGAGCTAATACAAGTCCAGCACCTTCGTTTACCTCGACTCAGCAGACAGCTAAACATACTGCAGCAGCTAACAAAAATCCGGAAACTCAGCTGACTTTGATATCCGGAGAGTATATAAATCCAGCACCACCGGCGGCAGTGGCTGTAATTGAACAAATAGCTGGGCCTTCAAGACACCGAACTTATGATGAGAAAGCTTATTATCAACTCAGCATTTCAGAATATCAGCAAACGCGGACACCGGGAGCTTATGAAAGAGCACAATCCTTAGCACCTCCGGCAACTCCAACTACATTATGTTTGCCAATATTTTCACCAATAACTCCAGCTACACCTCACCCGAATCCAGAGACATCTATCCAATCTCATGAAGACGAAATAAGTGATTTTAATGAGAACTATCCAATGCCTTGAACTTTATTTATAAATGGCTCTTAGTGCGACAGCTAGCTTGAGTAGTCATGTGCTGTCCCTGTCCGCATGCGCTGATTCTGTATTGTGAGATAAGGACAGCACATGATGACAGCTTGACAGATACTCAAATTAACTGTAACACTGAGAGCAATTTATAAATACTAATTGTAGCAAAGATGCTAAACCAAAAACATTTTCAATGAATATTATCTTTTGATTTGTCAATAAAAGTTTGATCTGTAAAAAATTGTTTCACTTACCTTAAAGTTATCAGTAGTCTTTCTTCAGGGCTGATTGGTTTTCTCCAATTTGTAACTTGCTTCCGAAGTCCTTCTCTTACTTTTGACAATACGATATGGTAACATTCCAGTGACATTTTATAAACTGTGCGAAAACGATCAGGATATTCATATAATGTTTCCATTATTTTATAGTACCTGTGCTCTTCTGCATTTCTCCACACTGGATGTATCCAATACCTTCTTGGTCTTTGCTGTAAATTAATAATCTGTAGCAAAGCCAGTGCATCTTCATCTTCGTCTGAAGAGGAATACATGTCTTATCCCGTCAATATCACGCTCTATAATGACTTAACTTGCCGTATCGTCCCCGCGTCTGTTTGCGCAGATATCGCGCCTGCACCGTATCTGCGCCGTGTCTGTACCGTACCTTCGTCTCGCCGTCTTCTATTTGCGTTGCCCCTTAAACTGGTGTGGTACTTTCCTCAAAAGACCACTGCAGAATGAATATGCACGGTTCTCTCACATTATGTTATTTTTACATTGTCTGGACTTGAAACGAGACTGACCTCTGAGTTTGTTTCGGCATTTCTTCTCAGAGTAGTCAGATAGGAAATGCCGACTTCATCTAGTTTTTTACATACCTATATTTTGCAGAAATGAATTCATTGTTATTGATTTTTTTCTAAATAGGTGCAAAGGGCCATTTTTATTCCGCCTGTCGTATGTATTCCGCAGTAAGAAAACGTATACTGTTTGCATTTTACTGAAAATAATACTTTCCTGTATTTTCACTTAAAATATTGGAAATGTGAATGAAATTGCCTAGTTATTAACTATCTTCATAAAAGATATCTATCTATAAAAGTGGTATCAGTAGGAAGCCAAACCTATTAAGTCAATCAACACCGGTTATCAACATCGGTGATCCCATCAACACATCACCGCAGCTGATAGGGGATTATCGTTAATTATTCGCGTTAATTGCCACACGGCTTCCGATCAACGCTAATTGGCGTCTCTGCTTCCGAGACACGATCCGCCCATGGCGCGATTACAACCATCAAATTTACCATCAACCATATACTTTTATACATGCGAAAATGAACTTTACTACTTTACACATAAGGGCTATGTTACCGATATAGGTAAAGTTGTAGGTCGGCACGGGCGCGCGGGGGTGGAGTGAGACGAAGCGGGGGTGGGGTGCCTCTCCCTTCGCCCCGCCCGCCCCGCGCGTCGGCCAATCACCACGCGCCAACCGAACGACCTCACCTTGCCCACACGTCCCAACGGATCCTTTTTATTTTATTTTTTTAACGATTATGGCTTTGTTTGGTTTCTGACTTTGTAGTTTGTAAGTTTAAATTGACTGCTGACTCGGCTACCTATTTATTATGAATAATGAATACAATGGAGGCTTTTGTTTGTCAGTGTTGTCTTTGTAGGTAGGTACTTTGATTTATAATGTTAAAGGTTGTTTTTTTCGTAAACCGAATAAAGATTTTCTTGCAGCAGGTTTGAAGTTCACTCATTTTTTTTTAACTATGCTTTTGTAGAAATTAGGATACCATGCCCGATTTTTTTTGTGCAGTAAATATGTTGAGGCTATACTTACATATTTTATTTTTATATGCCTCAAGATTATTTACGTACCTAAGTAGGATAGTTTTTAAATAGATTTTGATAGTTTTTTTTCATGTGTGGTACGAACATTCAATAAACTCACGTCTTGGTATATGAGACACAATTGCTTAAGTAGATACAAAAGTACCTATGTTACATTATTGACACTGGTTTTTTTTTTCGAAATTTTGTCAATCCTTTTGTCAGTCCCAATTCCCAAAATAATTATTTATTATCTGAAATATAAATCCATAAACTATGGAAATTTTCAACGTTTTTAAATTCAAACAGAACGCCCGTGCAAAGTTAGCGCGCGTTGCACAGTTTTCACTCACCCTCCGTCTGCAAAACCAATAAGACGCGAGGGTCTGAAATCCCCGCTTTAATGTCGAAACGCCCTAAACGCCGAGTACCGCAAAGATTATAAAACTCTATTTACATGGAGTTTAGGTACGATTTGTTTCGGTAATGTTTAATCTAATTAAGTGGCTAAGGTGAAAGGTTGGTAATAAAATATGGTGTTTCACATTGGGGACTGTTAGCCGTCGTGTTACCGACTCAACAGATGTTTTTGTTGATTATCAAAACTTTTGACGATCAACTGACATTCGATTTTAATCGAGGCTTTTGTTCTACGGATAGGATAGGGATGAAATGTAATTGTAACGTAGGTACTCTACATTACAAAATAATAATTCACGTGATTAGACGCATTTAGTCACGTCACTAAGGAGTGGCCTTCTTTCCTATATTAATAAAACTACTTACTGTTTAATATTATTTATAGGTAAGAAGTGTCTGTAGCTGAATATGTATGCATGTATTTGCTTTGCATGATAGCTGATAAGTACTTTACAAATTCCTCTGGCATGTCGGGCAACTGGTGGAGGGTTGTAGCAAGTGTGTGTCATGTAGCATGTACACGTGAGAGGTGGGGGGGGGGTCATGTGGGGGTAACGGGCAGTCGGCAGCTCGCGACAGCTGGCGGGCGGCAGGTGCGCCCCAAATGCACTGCAGCCGCGTGTATCACGCGCAACTTGCAATTCACTGCGCACGCCTTCCTCGAAACATAACCCTTTACAGCTTCATACTATGGGTACCTAAATGCGGCATGCTACCTAAACACTCACCTACTAACATTTTATCAAACTTCAATTCCGTCCGGCCCCGAGCGACCGATGTTGCACCTTAATATCCGTTTTCGCCGTAATATTATCATGAAATAAAATCTGCAAGGCTGTGTGCAACCCTCCGCCGACTGCACGCCACCGGCAGTCGCGCCGCGCCGGCCAGCGGGCGCACACCGTCGCGCTTTGTAACTGCATACAAGTGTATAACGGACACGCTCTCTGTTCCAGAACAAGGTGGAGTACTACGTGAAATGGAAAGGGTGGAAGCCGAAGCACAACACGTGGGAACCGGAGGAGAACATCCTGGACCCGCGGCTCATCCAGAGCTTCGAGCGCGGCGAGGAGCACCGGCGCCAGGGCAGGCGGCGCGAGCGCGAGCACTCGCCCGGCGAGCGCGCGCGCAGCGGCTCCGAGGAGTGCCAGCCGCCGCCCGGCAAGCGCAAGGCCGAGGTGCTGTCGCGCGAGTCCGGCAAGATCGGCGTCACCATCACCATGAGCCCCCCCGCCGCCAAGCGCCACGACTCCACCAAGCTCAACGGCAGCCGGACTTCCCTTACCACTCACACCGCCCACACAGCGCACACCACGCACTCCGTGCAGCCTCCTCCTCCCGCCGCGCCGCCTGGAGGAGCGGCTGCGCCCGCCTCTCCTGCTGCTGAAGCTGCCGCGCCTAGAACGGGCCCCAGACGAGCACCACATTCCCCGGAAGAAGCTGATGCTCATACTCCCCCGGAGCGGGAAAGGCGCACCGAAACCCAACCGACTGCCACTGCGCCGGCGGAACCCAAAGGTGCTCAACCACCTCCTCCAGTCGAGCCGCAGCCTGAGGAGGAGGAGGACTCGTGGGGCGACGCTCCGGTCGCAGTACCGGCGCCGCCGCCAGCGCCAGTAGCGCCCAGACGCGGCGCCGCCTACTGGATGGCGCGCTCCCCGGTGGCCGACCAGATCTTCATCACGGACGTGACCGTCAACCTACAGACGGTCACGATACGCGAGTGCCGCACTGAGAAGGGTTTCTTTAGGTCGCGCGAGCAACGGCCGCTCGACGTGACGTAAACATTGCATTGTGGACTCTGAGGACTTGTAGATACAGTTATAGGTAGCTAGTATTTATTTAGTTACTGCGGTTGTTAAGTCAAGTGAAGGAGTGAAGTGAAGTGCACAGCCCTGGTTGGCCTAAACCTGGTAACCTACACTAACGAAGTGCTATTTATCTCTTGGGAATCTTGGGATACCCGACATACTGGACTGTGTGAACGGATTTATTGTCTACGACGAAGCCACAGGGATAACATAAAGCTTGTCGACTGTTTTCCTGTAACTGACAGACAAGCATAGATGAAATAACGAACCACCAGATTTTACAATAAATAGACAAAATTGTTGTCAATTGTTGATAATAGAGACTTCTATATTTTATAATAATGTTGAATTTATTGATGACTGGGTGTATAACTCATTGAATGTAGATGTTAACTTGAATCTATAATTTAAAACCGCTAGTTCTGTATACCTTCCATTATTTATTAAGAGGTTTGCCCGATTACCTACTTGCTAAGTTTAGCCATGTACCTTCCTACATAGATAATATGGTTGTTTTTAATTTGTAATTGAATCTCGGTGATAACATCATTTACAGTATGGTCTACATTAAATTGCATTATACTAGAAATTTATATTAATTTATCCCTGTCTTTGTAAAGTATTCCCATTTTGTTTTTTTTTATTGTTGTTGTTACATATTTATGTGAACTTAATTTAATGTTAAATAATTTTTCATTCATGATTTAGTATCTTCAGATAAAGCTTTAGGTTATTTATCGATTGTCTAACAAATACTTAAAAGCAATAACTATTGAATTTAATAAAGAAAAACTGTCTACACAATTACTATTACTTGCAACATTGATTTATTAATTTTTAAACTGGTAACTCTGGTATGGAATGGTCAGTGTTGCAATTAAACAGAATATATTTTTCTAAATGTTTGTAAATAAATAACGTACAGTATGTCAAGTTTCTTGGTATTCAGGCGAGAAAATAAAAATTATTTTACAATGGTACTGTAAAAATTGGTTTATTGCTAGATTTAAAACAATACAAATTAATATAAATTTTCATTGTCTCTGTGCTGCATAAATATTTTATTTTCTTGCCTACATACCACTTAGCCCACTTTACCTTTATTTGTTAGCAGTGTATAATGAACTAAATGAACAGAATGAACTTTAATAATGTTTTTTTCCGCACATTAATTTAGAATTCTGTGCTACTTAGTTATTATTATTTAATAATTGAATTTAAGACCACACAATTCCGAATGAGGAGTTCCTTTTATTGTTATTTTGGTTCCTTTAATAATTAAATATTATTATTATTATTGTCGTGAAAGGATGGATGCAGTCTCCTATTTGTGTTAATGTATAGGTATTTTAATTAATGCATTTTGTATGTGGATGTGGTATTTGTAAATATTGTAAATATAATTTTAGAGAACTTGTTTTTATAATGTGATAGTGTTTCACATAAATAGCTTGTAAATAAATGAGAATGAATTAGATTCAATCTTTTATTTTTTAATTTATTACCCTCTTTGCTTCTTGTTTTTAACCGAAGATGAGATTTTGCTGTGAAGTTTTTGAAAAGACAAATCTCAATTACACGATGCCGGAATGCCAAACTTAACCATCACTTAACTTGCATGTTTTGTAATTGACTAGGCTATGGCTAGGCGACGCTAGGCAGCTGGCTGCTGTGCAACATTTCGCGGGATCGATTCCCGCACGGAAGTGTGATCTAGAAATTGTTGTTTTGGCTCTGGGTGTGATGTTTATGTGAAATTATATGAAGAAGAAAAGGGTAAAGTAGGACAACATCCTAATTTAAAACAAAACACATGCTCATGTCTTTCAATACGCCTATATGGGCAAAAAATCCTACGTGGACTGAGAGTCAGGTTAGATACCTGGATCAATTAGTATGTCTAATAGTGTGCCTCGTCCCCTATTGGATGAAAGACAAACAGTCTACTAGTACGTACCATCGTCATAATAATATACTGAGCAAAAAACGGTAGCCGCACTATTACGTTGACACATACTCGACACCCAGACCCTTGTTCAACAGTCACTTTTGATACATCAACAATGTATTAGAATACGAAGATTCACGCTTTAACACGTCATGGTAGGCCCTCTAGAAGGAATATTTGTTTATGTCTAAACTCTAAAATGTGGAAGAGCCATGCTGAAATATGAACAACCTTACAGAAAACCGGCGTGAAAACCTCTAGCGTTGTTTCTCCGTGGGGTGTTACCAGCGGCCCAATCCCCCTTCTACAGTCCTCAAGGGATCTAGCGACCTCCAAAAGACAAATATAAAAAATAAATTCAAGAATAATGTATGTAAGGTTTTTATTTATCCAAATATCATCTCTACAGCACGTGAGAGCGACAGAGACAGAGATACTAACGGCTATGCTAAAAATGACAAATATTCCGTTCATGCTAAAGATTGCATATATTTTTGACATGTGCAGTACCTATTGACGTTTGTTTTGTTTTGTTGAAAGGCGCGGAACCGCGGATCTGCTGGCCATCGGGAGCAGTTTAGCGAATTATCTAACGATCGGTTGCAAACTCGGTCTAGTATTTGTGTTATATATTCGGACTAAGTTATACAAATCGGGCGATGGAGTGGTCGAAAGACAAAACGTTGAAGTTGATTGAGTTGTTACAAGTCAACGCGAGCTTGTGGAATCCATCTTTATGCGAGACGCGAAGGGATAAACAAAAGCGACGAGAAGAATTACGATTGATATCTACATTGCTAGGAATTTCTGTGTTAGATATTACGAAGAAAATACAACACCTTCGGACACAATACAACCGGGAGTCGGCGCGGGAAGCGCGAGCATTTGCTGAGGAACCTAACGATAGATATGTCAGTAACTGGTACGCGTTCGAATATCTACACTTCTTGAAAGACTCCAGGAAGCCATACAAGATTCTTCTGTCGGTTAGTATCACTGGGTATTTCATAGTATATAGTTTAGATAAACTCACAAGTCTCAGACAAAGGTTCTCCATAGTCTAAAGCATTACTAATAAAATCAGTTTATTTAATGGCAATTCTATTTTATATTTTCACCCGCCCCTGAATCACAACATCCTCAAAATTTCCAGGATCTATCTAAAATCCCAAAGTTACTTGTAACAGTGAAACAGTGTTTGTGATTCAGAATATTCCTTATACCATTGACTTGCAAATCATCAGGTTTTTAAAGTTACCTTTTTAATGTCCAACTTTTGACTCCTATGTACTGTTGATAATGGCTCACATACTCCAATAAAATTTTGTAATGTTTCAGGAGGACAACAATACAGAAATAGGAGTGTTATCCCCACATTCAGACAATGCAGTAGCTGATTGTAAGCTAGCCAACCTGTCTCCACCACACAAGATATCCAGGACAGAGTCTCATCCGCCAGCTGTAAGGCCTGATATAGTCTATCCTTCCATATCAAGGACAAGAGATGAATTCTCCGTGTTTGGAGAATATATTGCTAATGAGCTGAGATCTCTAAAAGGGGAGAAAAACCTACTGGTTGCAAAGAAAAAGATACAGGATGTTATATTTGAAGTGAAAATGGGAATGATTGGAGAACCACGTACTGAGCAACTACCAATTTGTACTGTGTTCACAAACACTACTCAGCCTCATCAGACCTCTATACACAGTAGCAAATTATACTCTACTCCAGTCATGACCACTGCAGCACATATTGAGCCTCTGTCAGCATCACACACGCCATCCACTACAGGAATCAGTGAAATAATAATTAATGGTACATGTCATTATCCTAACTTTAAAGTCGATACACAATAGCAATGTCATCCACTTCCTGTTGAGGAGGTGGATAAAAATGAAGGATACAGTATAAACAATTAAGTTTTTATCAAGAAAAAGCCGGGTGTCATTGTGAGTTTGGCCTTTTTTGTGAAGGGAATACCATCAAATGACTTCTCTCACCCAGGGTATTATGAGAGAGTATCTCGCTCTTACTGACTAAAAACCATCCCATTCCTGAATTTGGCTTAACATTTGGCACACCATTATGGATCAAAAAGTTGTTTTCAAAAAGCCTAAATGTTTTGCCTGGTAACCCAACTTGTGAGAAATGGGACGTTATAATTAATATGATATCAGAAAGATTTATACCGTAATGTAAAATTAATTGTAAATACTTAGAAGGATTCAATTAAACTCATACTTAGAAATTTTATAGATTCTAAGCAATGTGTAAAATCACAAACTAGTTAAAAGTTTATTGGTACTTTTTGCAGCAAAAGTATTACAGAAGAAACTATGGTAGTATTAAATAGACAGTTTTACTTTAGAATATATAAGCTCGTGTACAATACAATTTATTGTTGTATTATAAAAAAGCCACATAACGTACATAATCATGTTTGTAATTTGCAGTGTTTTAGAAACCCTCAAAATCAGACAAGACTAAGTTAATGCTTTAGTTATGGCGTTTGATATTTCAAATGCAAGAGTAAAACTCCCATGTACGCAATATACTTCGCTGGTGAGAAAAGAAATGCTTTAGTTGATCATTTATTAATTGTGTATATGGACTTATAACAAAGTACCATTCAGTATGTAATACAATTGCGCAAATCATTTATGATGGAAATAAAATGAATCTTTAAATAATGAAAAAACTTTAAAATCTTTGGAACTATTTGAGTTGAATGGATGAAATAAAATACAAAATATGTGTCTTAAAATGGTACATTTCGTGAGTTATAAAACAAGTTAACAGTCCCTAATATTATTATTATATTTAATAATTTCCCATTTTTAGAGAGTTAAAAAATTCTCACAAACGAAGTAACGTTTATATATAACGAAGTATAGTTTTACCCTCGCATTTGAAATAAAACGCCATAGACTCATAGCATTAACTTAGTCATGTCCGTTTTGAGGTTTTCTAAAACACTGTGGTTTATATGAAAATGAACTGTATGTCGGATGCTATATTAATTAGCATTTAAATGAACTAACATTTTTACATGAGATTAGTATTAATTGTAAATAAAAATGGTGTGAATGGGTTGTCCATATCTTGCAAATGCGTCGTTAGCGAACTGTTACATGTACACTTGCAATTTATAACATGTTCGCAAGCAGTGCATTTAATAGATCTGGAACTTATTATAAGGTCTAACATTAGTATTTTCTAGTCTGCCTAGTCAAGCCTTTATACTGCTATTATTTCTTTTGTAGTTCTTGACATAGGTACTATTCTTTTATTTTACTTGTTTCTACAATCAGTATTGAAACTTCGATCTCAACAAAATATTATATGTATATACCTAAGTTGTAATGTAAATAAAAGTACATTGTACATGAAATTTTAATATTTAGTTTCATTTATTTTACAGAACATTGTTCTCAAGATAATGGCCTAAACCAAACACCGATCTCAGTACAAAAATTCTTATTCATTTCAGCTGTAATTTGTATCTAATTTTAAATGTATCAAGTATAATGTACGTGATATGTTAATATCATTCGTGATAGCAACTAGTCAATTTTACTATATAATTATTAGTGGTTTGCTGTTGTCAGGAGACATTTAATTTTTTAGTTTTAGTATAAGAACCGCTAAACAGTGGAACACGGTGTCTGTTTTCCGAAGTCTGACCTGGGTGTCTTCAAAGCCCGAGTGGATAGGATGTTTATGGGTAGGTATGTTCCATTGTAGGTCGCATCATCGCTTACCTCCACTAGGTGTGATAGCGGCCAAAAGTCTGCCCATTACGAAAAAGGAGAAAATTTGTTATCAAGTAGTTAGTTCGTATCGATTCGGCGGTAGTTGGACATATCAATCAGAAAGTTAACTGTCAAATCGCTGGACAAATCAATATGTAAAAAACTTCTATCACAGAAACGTAAACAAAAGTGAAAACCTAATTAATAAATCTATATCTGAGGTAATCAATACATGCACCTGATTTCCCAGCCAGAAGAAGATTGTGTACCAACGGTGCTTACAAATGTGCGAGGGCCAGCCTTCGGCACGAATGAGTCGGGTCGTCCGGAGTGATATCACGGCCTTACAGAAAATTGGCTTGATGTTTCTCCACGTCAACAAAAGTCTAGTGTGAATTTCATTAGGATGTTTTGTTCGAGTAGCAAATGCCTAGACGTTGTCTCGAACAGCCGGAGTATCGGCGTAAGCGCCATGCATGAGGCACCGCAACCTCGGCCCAGAGCAGGAGAAGGAATGGGGGGGTTTTTAGTCAGTAAGAGTCTGACACTATGAACGGGAGAAGTCATTTGATGGTTTTCCCTCACAAAAAAAAGACGTCTCGAAACAACAGCGTAGATACCAAAGTTGTAAGTGTGTTGTATTTACATGTACTTATTTACCCAATACCACAAATGAACTATAAACTGTGTGTGAACACGATTGAACAAACATTTTACTATTGTAGCGCGGGATTTTATTTGGTTAGGCTGTGGCTTCGCTACACTGTGGCTGCAACGCGGCGCAGCGCTACCTATTACAGTAACACGCATGCGCGGCCCCCCCTCCGCCGCCCGCACACCCCGCGCGCCAACGCAGGCCGAGGTGGCGCGAGCGGCGGCGCGAGAGAGCGCCCCAACCCTCGTCGCGTACGGGCGATATTGGTATTCCTCCGCGACTCGACGCCACTTTAACAATAATGTAACCATGTGCTTAAATTTAAGAACTATAGATGTGTGTGATTAATTATGTTATACCAACAATAAAGTTTTAATGTTACAACCATTAAACTGGCGCCCAAACTAGTGGCCGAATCGTAACGACCGTTACAAACCGAGATCCAGTGCCTACGTGACCGCGGGTAAAGTACCTACCTACCCGAACCTACTCGCCGCGTTACCGTTGTCATCACTAACGTGAAGATGCCGACAACGAGGAAAGGAGAAGCCCTCCGTAAACAACGTGGTGAAGATGAAGGTGACGTCACGCTCACTGAAGAGGAGAGCGTCGCCGAGCGCGGCCACGTGGATGATGCCGCGCGCGCCGGCTCGAGGCCGACATCTCAGCCAGCTCCCCAGATCCCAACAGACTTCTTATCCACGCTGATCGAGACGATCACGCGTGCGCAAGTGGAAGCCAACAGAAGCCTCATTAACACGCTGATGACGTCCAGCGGCGACTTCAGAGCCTCCACCCCAATCGGGATCTCGTCATCAAACGCGACCAGCGCAGGTGTCGCTGTCGCGCCTGCGTCGTGCAGCGACGCCAACTTCACGAAGTGCACGGCGAGATACAACGGATCATCCCAGGACACCGAGGGCCTGGAAGCGTTCCTGGACGCCGTCGAAGTTTACAAGGAGTGTGCAGCGGTGAGCGACGAGCACGCCCTACGTGGGTTGCCCATGTTGCTGGAAGGCGACGCCGCCGTGTGGTGGCGCGGCGTGAAAGCATCGGTGCCCACGTGGACGGACGCGATAGCGCGGCTTCGCGCCACTTTCGGCGTGGTGCAGCCCGCGCATCAAACCCTCCGAGAAATATTCGCCAGAGAGCAGGGAGAAGAACGTGCAGAAACATTTATATGTAAAGTGCGCGCGTTACTCGCTAAATTACCGTACACGTTGGAAGAAAATGTGCAGGTGGACATTTGCTACGGTTTACTGCACCGACGCGTAGTGAAAAGAGTGCCGCGAGACAGTGTCCGTAGGTTAGACGACTTACTATATAAGGCTAGGATCGCGGAGGATACCTACAAAGCGTCAAAGGTAAAGTCCGACCCTGTAAATAATAATAAATCGACCGACCCACCGGCGGTGACTACCACCGACCGAGATTTAACACAATTAAGTTCCGCTACCACGAACGCGACTACGTCGCGTTGCAGCAACAGAAATAGGCCCCGTTGTAATCATTGTAAACTTTTCGGTCATGTTAGCGACGAGTGTCGTAATCGCGAGAAGTCTACCATTAAGGGTAATAGTAATAATATACCCAGGGAGTTACGTTGTTATGGTTGTGGTAAGCAGGGCGTCGTGAGGTCGAAATGTGATGTTTGCGCGAAAACAATATCGAAACCCAACGACAAAACATCTTTCAACATTGTTGATGTAGATTTTTGTACCGAGGTAGAATATAATAGTTACGCGAGTCCGAGTGATATAGATTCGTGCGTTAATATTACGAATATTAGTACGCGCGACAATCACCCGATGGTAAATATTAGTGTCGCGGGCCGTGGCGGCGTGGCGATAATAGATACCGGCGCCACGCATAGCATCGCGAGCCCCCTCTTACACCGAGTTCTAGTAGACTCAGGAGTCCACTTCACCGAGACGAAACGTTTCGTGCGCCTGGCTGACGGATCGCAAGGGTGGAGGGACCTGTTATCAGCCGAGGTAGAGGTTAGTATTAAAGGTCGTAGGGTAACGTGCCAGTTCTTAGTATTACCTGGAAGTGATATTAGGACGCTTTTAGGTACAGATTTTTTAACGCGGGCCGGCATGGTAATAGACGTCGCCCGCCGCACATGGTCGTTCTCGGACAGTCCGGGACAGCCGTATGATTTTGTTTACACTTATACTCTCGACTCAGCTGATACAGGCCTATTGCACACTACACCTTCAAGTGAGTTGTCGCGACCAGTTTGTCCTGACGAGCAGAACGACTGTGACCTATGTATGACGGTTATTGACATACCGAAAGGGAACAGTGGTGATATCCGCAGCAATCAGCTGTTAGACCCAGAGGTTCGCAAGATTATTGAGGACATGGAGTCCGACGAACCCTCTAGGGGGAGGCCTTGGTCTGATCGTGGATACACCATATCTGACGGTATCCTATACAGGTACAGCTTGGAATCCGATGATGGAGAGGACTGTTGCCTAGTTGTTCCTGAACACGAACGCAGACAAGTTATGGTCGACTTGCATGATGCGCCGACAGCTGACCAGAAGAGGAGGCTGCCGCCTGAGTATAAGGTAGGTGACTTGGTCTTGTTGAAGACGCAGGGGCCTAACGACACAGACCGCGGCCAGACCGCGAAGCTCATCCCACGTCATGACGGCCCGTACAAGATAGGGAAGGTCATCAGCCCGACCACCTATGGTCTGGAGAACGTACAGACTGGAACGAACGTAGGGAAGTATCACGTTTCGCACCTCACACCTTTCGCGGGTCAAGTAGAACCTCCCATTCGCGAAAAACGCAAGCGGGGCAGACCGCGTAGGTATTTAGACTAGCCCAACTGTGGGGACACTTAGTTAGGCTAGAGGGGGAGGATGTAGCGCGGGATTTTATTTGGTTAGGCTGTGGCTTCGCTACACTGTGGCTGCAACGCGGCGCAGCGCTACCTATTACAGTAACACGCATGCGCGGCCCCCCCTCCGCCGCCCGCACACCCCGCGCGCCAACGCAGGCCGAGGTGGCGCGAGCGGCGGCGCGAGAGAGCGCCCCAACCCTCGTCGCGTACGGGCGATATTGGTATTCCTCCGCGACTCGACGCCACTTTAACAATAATGTAACCATGTGCTTAAATTTAAGAACTATAGATGTGTGTGATTAATTATGTTATACCAACAATAAAGTTTTAATGTTACAACCATTAAACTATCGTTTATTGTAGTGTGCCTACATGACATGACATTACCAATACTCAGTATTAATTTAACCGCCACACGGCAAGCCCGCGTCGAGATAATACCTAATAGGAAAATATTATCAAGTTAAATACATCTAAACAAATTCAACAAAGTTACATTTAGTTAAACAGTTAGGTACTTGAAAATATCAGCCATTGTTTGGTGATCATATGAGGTAAGTTATTTGAGATTTATTAATTTCATTTCAATTATTTTGGAATAAACAAATAAAAATATCAATATGCAAAGTTAACCGTGCGGGAATCAAACCGATAAAATAAGTCAAACGCAAACGTAGGTAATAAAACTTTTTACTCAAGTGTTGAAGAGCCATGCTTCGGCACGAATTGGTCAGCTCGACCGGAGTGGTGCCACGGCCTCACATAAAACTGGCGTGAAACAACCACAGCGGTATCTTTGGCCGTGGGAGTGGGGTAACCGCAGGCCCAATTCGAGCCTTCCCTCAATCCCTAAATTTCCAAAATCCGCATCCGCACTTTAGGCGGGCACTTTTTGCGTGGAGCATTATCGACACATACAATATATTAGCCAGTCATAGTAGATATTATTAAAACAATCCTAAAAACCTAGATAACGACTTGGTCTATGACTTTGCCTGGGTCATAGTGCACCATATCAGGTCATTGACATCGTGACATCTGACGTTAAACAATAATAGGTATAGGTATAATGTTAAACCTTGTCAAACGGTGTTTTCGTTATTGTATTTTGAATATTTTGATTAGGCTAAAAACCTCGATATTTTGTTTTTCTTACAGAATAATGAGATTGATAATATTTTCAATACTCATTTCCTTAGCGTATGCTAAGATACGAGAAATTAATGTCATCAAAATGGAAAATAATATTCCCGATACAAATTTTATTGAAGGAAAAGGATATCGACCTAATTGGAGGGATTTGGATAAAAGGCCGCTACCGGAGTGGTATGATAAAGCTAAAATAGGCATATTCCTCCATTGGGGTGTATATGCTGTTCCTAGTTTCGGATCAGAATGGTTTTGGATGAACTGGAAAAGTAGTACGTAAATCCGCATAATATTATTATTAGACTGACTGAGTACCTAATAGGGATTTAACGACGAATACGAATACGTGACTATTTATTTTAATTTATTTTTTAGAGGTATCGAAATACGTAGACTTCATGGATAAGAATTATCCACCAAATTTTACGTATCAGGAGTTTGCTCCGATGTTTACGGCAGAATTTTTCGAACCTGCAGCTTGGGCACAACTATTTTCGGAATCTGGAGCGAAGTAAAATTTATTTACTTATTAATTTTCATACAAAATGTATGAATTGACTGTTGTTGTACTAATAATTATAATTTTCAGGTATATTGTTCTTACAAGTAAACATCATGAGGGTTTTACTTTATTCCCATCGAAACGTTCATTCAGCTGGAATTCAGTTGATGTTGGGCCAAAACGAGACTTGGTGGGCGAGCTTTCAGTGGCTGTAAGGAAAAGAGGTCTTAAGTTTGGAGTATACCATTCCTTGTATGAATGGTATAATCCAATATATCTTCAGGATAAAAATGCATCATTTGAAACACACACTTTTGTTGACACAAAATTGTGGCCAGATCTGAAACAAATTGTCCATGATTACAAACCATCAGTGATTTGGTCTGATGGTGACTGGGAAGCTCCTGATAATTACTGGAGGTCCACAGACCTACTAGCGTGGCTGTACAATGATAGCCCGGTTAAAGATGAAATTGTAGTAAATGACAGATGGGGTAAAGATATCCCCGGACACCATGGAGACTTTTATAATCATGCTGATAGATTCAATCCTGGTTAGTAATTTAATTATTGGCATGTTAATTTATACTTTTTCTTCTGATATGTCTTATCCGCTACGTATGCGCATAAAATTACTTCAGCTACTTTATTTTAGCGGTTTATTAAAATACCTACTACTTAATTTTAGTTATTTCACTAATAAATTGCTGTCTTAATGTACCTTGTACATCTTATCTTAAATTAAGTATTTTATTGTAATGCATTTAATGAATTCGCTTAATTACTTAACATTTGCATGAGTTCACAAATTATCTACCTGAACGTTTATAAAACATGCTTTAAAAATATAATGATATTTTTTTAGGTAAACTGCTGAACCATAAGTGGGAAAATGCATTTACGGTAGACAAAGTTTCTTGGGGATATAGAAGAAATATGAAAATTGGTGAAATAATGTCAGATTCTCAGCTTCTGTTCCAAGTGGTATCAACAGTCAGTTGTGGAGGTAACTTTTCCAGTCACTTAATCCTTTATTATACCAAACAAGCAGTTGTATCACCTATAGGCCTGCCATGATGTGTTAAAGTTGTTGTGTTGAATATTCCGGGCAAGAAAGAGCGATAGAGCTGTCAAAGGTGTTTAACACGTCATGGTAGGCCTTCTAATCTAAGCTGACCCATCGGCGTGGCCCATAAAGGTCCATAACACCAAAGAGTGAGTTGCGTTTTGAAGGGGATTGGGCCTACGCAGGTGTTCTATGAGGCGTCATGGTCACTCTGAAGAAGACCAATTTATGTGGCCGCAACAATGCTAACTTGAATATGTGTTGAAGGCACTTGATGAATATGAAATCAACAGTTTAATTAATACATTTTTTACAGGCAATGCTCTTATCAACGTGGGTCCTACTAAGGAGGGTACTATAATACCAGTGTTTCAAGAGCGCCTCCTATTCCTTGGAAAATGGCTGGCTATCAACGGAGAGGCCATATATGGCAGCTCCCCATGGTTTTCTCAAAACGATACTGTAAATGGCAAAGTATGGTACACTTGTACTAAAGAAACTTACAATGCCACTCATCCTACTTATCCTCCAAGCGCTAATGATAAAATTCTTGCTATCTATGCCATCGCCCTGGAATGGCCTAAGGACAATTGGCTAATACTAGGCGATATTACAAGTTATTTGCACAGAGGGACTTATCAAGTTGAGTTGTTGGGCAACAAAGGACTGTACTTGACTGTAAGTGTTTATTGTTTATAAAAATAATATTAGGTTACATCTTTTAGTCTCTTAAGAGGTAGGTAGAGGTCCACTCTTGCATTTATGTTTTTCAGCCAATGTCTTGATGAGCCATTTGTCGAGCATTTTAGACGTAGTAAAAATTCAAATATACTCAAGTCCACATACACATCGTAGGTACCCAGATCTAACAGTTAGCGGATCAAACAAAGAATTGTAACGTGCGGGAATTGAAGTCGCTACACGTTTTGCTGCTATCGGTTGCCTAAACACTGCAATTACAACACCTTATTAATGATGTTCAATAATGTGATTTTAATGAGTATTTTCTCTTATCAATTGTTTATTTGTTTCAGTGGAAGATAAGTAATGGGAAGGTCGGTATACAACTGCCCGATAAGGCGACCGTGCGCTCGAGAAATGCTTGGACCTTAAAGTTTACATTAAAGTAAATGTAATGTGTAGATATTTGTATCACCTACATTCCTAAAATAATTAGCAGAATCAGCTACACAAAGAACTTCATAGAAATGTACTGATTCTACGTACAAACGTTTTTGTTTAAATAATCTTTTCGTTTAATTAAGTAAGTAGTTTAGTTTTTTGTTGACTTGTTTTTTCTGCGACTGTCGTATGAAGTACAATATTGTAAATTGATTTTGTACAGTGCGGCCGACGTATTTTGGCGAGTCTGAAGTTAGACGATTAGCTGCGCAGTACACAATTTTGTTCCTAAAAGATCCATTGCGCAGACAAACGGCTAACTTCAGACTCGCCAAGATACGTCGGCCGCACTGTATGTTATCTAGAGTACCTACCAACTGTTATTTTGTAGTTATTACTTAGTAATAAAAATAAAAAAAAATGAAACTGTTATTCTTGTTATTTGAAATCGGTGCGAGAAGTCTTACTATGCTAGTAATATTAAGAATTAGAATGCATATTCTCACAAATATTCACATTTATAAATCTTCTGTGTTGGAGTAGATGTGACCAAGATAATAAATACAGTAAGTATAATAAATTTGTCAGTCAGTAGATAGATATTTTTGAATTTAAAAAAAAGATGAAATGTGCACTGTACGATAGGATTGAACTAGAGGACAGCTTAATGTTATGAATAAAAAATTAAGTTTTGTAATCTGTGGTTTTATTGAATGGCTACTTAATTACATTTTTTACGTGACTGATAAGCAAACAACTCGACGCATCGCTTAATCATAAGCAAACGATGCCACCCCTGGACACCATGAATCCATGATGAATTTGACGAATAGGGACCCCTTCATCCAGGAAAGGATTGGGTTCCAGGTCACCTAGCACGTCGAAAGAACACGAGCGTTCGCGTTAATTATCAATTATCATCTATACGAAATTTGATTATCACCCACATTCCCTATTTATGATAATTATGAAGCTTTTACAATTTCTTGTTCACTGTTCACTGCAAAATGTGCCAATCAGATCCAATTACTTACGAGTATAAAAATAAAAATTAACATGTCTGTTACCAACACATGAGGCTTGACCCTATTACGCTAGGATGGAAACTAGCAAGTCGTTTCTGGATATATCTACCCTTATTTTTTGTCAGGTGAAAATCATCAAATGACTTCTACCTGAGGGCCGAGCACCCCTCCCTTCGTTCCTTCTCCTGCTCTAGGCCGAGGCCGCGGTGACTCATTGCACTTAACCCGCAACCCCGGCTGAGAATATTATCTACCCCTGTCACTTCATGTATAAAACAAAGTAGCTTTTTCTGTCCCTATATCCCTATGTATGCTCATTAAATCTTGTAAGACTACATACATACACTAGTGGAGATGTTTAGTATTAGCGTTGGTCCCTCGGGAAGCCGGGGCGGGAAGCTTGTTACATATTAAAAGGCGTTGTTTCATTCTGTACCCATTTAGAGTGTATACTGTATTTATATCTATCCTGCATTCAACGTGATTATATCTTTGTTAATCCTGTTAAAAAAATAAAACAATTTATAACGTCAAACAAGTGTATTCAATGAAGTATTATAAATCATATATCGCTACTTACATGGACATAGGTAACTTACAAATTAAAATATACATACTATAATATAGCATTTTGTGCTTGAACTTATGACAGAGTTATCTAAATAATATAAAAAGCACAGCTTACTCGATAGAGCACGGATGCTGGATAGACCAAGCGAAGCAGAGGGCTAAAAATTGTTTTTATAATATTGTATTGTCAAATATTTTGCTGCACAGTCTCTTACAGAAGAGAGAAGTAAAAAAAAGTGAGGATCCAAAAATCAAAGTGTCAAGGACGGCCCCCTCCCTTTTGCAAACGACTGCACCTAAAAGCTTCTATAAATTGTACCCAAAAATTCGTTAATTCATTCACAATTATATTTATTATGAATAAAATATCGTGATTACAAAAATAAATATGATTAATATACATACACGTTTATGACGATATTGCTTACTTGTAGTAGATAATGTATAGCTTTATATTTCTATTTATAAACAGCCCCTTTAGGTATAGAAGAAAAGCTAGTCTAATGACTGAAGTCAATGACATAAGTTTTGACATAACTTATCAAATGTCAATGTCAATGTTATTGACATTAATTTCTGTTATTTTGACTAGCATTTAAATGCTATGCCTAGGGGGCGTGCTACTTTAATTTAATATCAAGCATCTTACATCAATTCACGAACAGCTTATTACGTAGGTAGTTAAAAATTTGTTAAAGCGTCTAAGCGCCAAAAGTTACTAGAGAAAAATATATCTAATTCTATATTATCAATATATTTTTTGTTTGTTTTAATAAAGCCTTTATACTTTGTAAGCAATCTGTTAATCTAGTTTATAGGATTATATTATACTTTGGGTATTATTTACGGGTGTATGTTTGCATAGAGGTATTATATATAAAGTAGGAGAGAAATAAGTGAAAGGGTCTTACAGTTAAAAAGATAATTAGAATAAAATTAGGACAAGAACAGCTTGTTAAACAACTGAATCCTTTTATATAAGTCTCCTTTCCGTCGAAGAGAAAGAAAGATAAGGAAGATTAGCTATTATACCTAGCTTTTCTTTCTTTATCTATACTACCTCTATGGAGGCCACCTCAAACTGAAGAGTTACCCCCTTTAACCTGCTAAGCACCAATCACTGAAGCACAATACACACCTATTTTCTATATAGGCACTGTTTATTTACACATACCTTTAAAATTAAACCTATACCCCCTTATTACAAAACAAGGTTTATCTTTAGTCCAGGTTTAAACCATCGAGTCGAGTTTTGAATTTTGAATCTTATTGTCATCTACCTTCAATTCGAAATACGAAAACTGGCTCAATGGTTTAGTCCTAGACTAAAGTAAAACCTTGTTTTATAATAAGGCTGCCAAAGTTTGGTTCTATCTACATCTAGAATGTGTTCAAATTCTATTTGTAGTAAAGGGTGATTCTCCAAAAAACCTTAACTTTTATTTAACAAGTCATTATCCTCCCAGGTTTTTAAGCATCTTAGTAATTTATTTTATACAATATTTTTAATCGGTTGCTTGTAAGCAGTGGTGAGATTTAATTTAATAAAATAATTATCTGTGTTTTAATCAGCAGACTCGTTAATTTTCGGTTGAGGATAATGACATTATTATTTTTTTTTTAATTGATGTGAAGAATCACTATAAAAACAAATGAAATGAAGTTATTAAAATAGCCGTAAGAGTCGTAAAGATACGAATTGCTTTAAAAGCGTTTCAAAATAATTATTTGGAAGCAAAGCTATATATAAATGCAGAGTGTCCTTGAATTCGTTCGTGATAATTTAAACTGCAGTAGGTACTGTTAAAGATACTGGTTTATTCTGAATTTCTTTCACTAATGAAATGTAGTTAAAAGTATCTAAAATAACTCTATAAAGTACATATTACCTGTCATTGATTGGTTAACTTTTGAGCTTCGTTTTAGTACTTTAAACTAATAAAAAATTTTAGTATAATATTTACCGCCACATGAAAAAATTACGTCACAATTTATTATTGTTTTTGACGTTTCATAAAAAGTATTGAATATGACTAATAGTAGCCCAGTATAACTCAGTATCATTAGTAGAACCTCAGTTTAAAACATCACTCATGAATTCAATAACAGCCTGTATAAAAATGAAAAAAAAAACTATATATTATTAGTACTATAGACTATAAAGAAATGCTAATTTTGTACTAAATCTAGATTTTTATATTTATTTGAAGTAAATAGAAGTTTAGCATAGATTAGGTACATAGGTTTAGGTACTATTAGGTTATGCTAACTTAAAAATAATATGGCTATGTATATCATATTAAAATATAGTACATAGGCACAGTTACTGAGGAATTAGTTACAACAGAAATAATACATAAACAAGCAGTTGGTTTCGCGTGAATTTTACACCTATTATTTATGTGTTAAGGTTGATTTTCCGAAAGCAAATATTAATTTGCTTATATGTGGGAAATGTAAACTCTTCCATACTAGCTATTCAGAAAGGGTACTAAATACCAGACCTATGTTAACACAAAATCATAAGAATTTGTTACAAATTCCTCAGTGAACTGATAATAATATTATCAGAATATTTATAATATGGAATGTTAACTGAACATCACGAATACCGATTATAATTATTAATAAACCAACATTTTATCAACGTAACGGCCACAACGTTATTTGAAGCCATTTTCTACATACTTTTAATTTTTCTCCACATGTCGATAGGCTTTCTAAACATGTTGTATTGACATCGATAAGGGCAAAAGAAGTAAAACTTATTAACCAATTTTCAACCTTAAACTATTGTAAAATAGTTGAAAATCGAAAAATGACATCTTTACTTAGAAACGGATTTCTACCATAATCCAAAAACTAATGGTCAGAAGCAACCATACGCTTCCAATTTTGGTCTTACATTGAATTCTCAAAAGATGATAATTAATTTGATAATGTTTAACAGCATTATTCCATAATTATTTGCTGATAAACACGACTAGTTTCAAGCCAAACTTGAGGATCATATCGACGTTCACAGCGTGTCGCACAATGCTGCTCATGAATATTCTGAGCCCCCAGTGTGGCTTGAAACTAGACGAATTGCCCATCAAACAGCTACAGGTGTAAGCCGTTAAACGTAAAAAATATTTATCTCACGAGAGTATTTATACAAAATCATATTTGTTAAATATGACTTACCTAAGAAGTTGGGTACACGAAACTCTACAATAGGTAATATCTAGATTGGTCTTTGAAACATTCGCATAAGGTCCATTTAAGCTCAAAATGCTGAGTGCGACATAACCATGTTGACCCTTCTAATTGGTTGTTCAACTTTGAGCAGACCAATCAGAGCGCTGAACGTAGTAAACATGTCTATCACGTTAACGGAAAACAGATTCGAATTTAGAAACCGAGTGTTTCAAAAACCTATGTGTTTTTCGATTTGCATTAAAATTCGATTTTTATAATTGGCCTGGAGATTTTACAGTGGGTTCATTTAGTGTAATCGAACAGTTTTTTATATTTATTTTCAAGTCGTTTTTATGTTTGCGTTATCTACACTTATTAGCTAAGCGTTATATACAATGTTAACATAGAATTCGTAGAAACAGGCGTTATTATGTATTCATGGTACATAGAAAAAATGCATACATACAGAGTAACATTAATTTCCTACAAACACTTAATGATCTGAATTCAAATATTACATCATTGTCAAGATTGATGCATCAAAATGACAATGAAATTAAATGTGTATATATTTTTAAATTCACTTCATCTTCTTTAAGTACCATCGAATATTGTTAATTAACATTTCGATCAAAACATTCTGACAGACATATCGATGACAGTTGTCAAATTTCTCCAAAATGGCGTTCTTTTGTTGTGCCGTCATTGAAATTATAAGTTAAACAATGCCTACTAGCTTTAAAAAAGCGCTAAAATATTATTAATTAATAACTTTCTCTTTGTTTCAATTCGTACTATGATGGTAGATTTCGCTAAAATATTGACTCAACATCCTTATATAATCCGTCAATGGCTCAAATGGCTGTCCTATTTGTACTATCTACAACTAGAAAAACAACAGTTAAAACGGTGCTTTGTAATTAGTACACTTCTGAAATGAAAACTGGCAGACATTGTATAACAGATACGATTCTGATAGATAAATAGAGACACCATGATCGTACAAAAACATACCTTATAAAGCAGGGTGCTTAGATACATATCCCAAGCAACCCGGCTATTTCCATCAGCTATGAAACCGATTGCAATCTATCCCTTTGCCTTAGGAGTTCTAACTCAGGTAGAATAGACACCTTTTCATTGAAGAACTCCTCAAGAGCTGGTTGAGATAGCATTGTAGCTAGGAACTGTTCCAGTGTGATAGACCAAACTCCTTCTGCTTCGGTTTCTTTGGAAGGAGATGGGGATGGTTTTCGAACTTCTGGCTCTGGTTCCGTTGCGTTACCGTTGGGATCCAGCTGAAATTAATGTATATATTTTTATGGGATATGGGGCTAACGAGAAGACGGACCACCGAAATCGGCACTGACTTTGGACACTGGTGACATAAAAGGACTTAAAATTGAGTAACGGTTTGGTCTGTTGGGGATAATGGGCAGGTCTGCGGTATAGAGACGACATAGGGCGAATGTATTTCCATAATTATATTATGTAACTTTAGATGTAAGATTGTTTTTATTTGCTGTGTCCTGCAGGGTCCACAATTGTATTTAGCTCTAAGCCATTATGTAACAACTGGTTACATAAACGCAAATAAATAATATGAATATGAACATGTCTTATATGTACAACACAGGGCACAATTTAAAACATACATTATTTTACCGAACACGGGAATGCCTTAATAATACTTTACCCAACACGAGAGAAGTAATCAAAGTAAGAATATAATACAATATTTACCTCCACTTCAGGTTGCTTAGCAGCGGCGGCTAGGAACAGGCTGTCTTGCGAGATCTCTCGGTCCAATTGTGGACGGTGATTCAGCTCACCCAGTTGTAGAAGAAGAGTACCTAGAACACATTAAAGTCATTAGTAAACATTTAAAATATATTACGTGATATTATTTTGGGCTTAGTTGTAATGGGTTTATTATATTAGTATTTTTGTACGTGTCCATGGACGGCGCCGATTGCTTACCATCAGTTAATCAGTCTACTCGTTTGCCGACTTATTCCATAAAAAAGTACGTTACCGGCAGGTCATAATGTATGGTAGTGTGATGTTGTTCTTGATATTACTTGTCAATACAATGCAAGACTTGTTTCCTACCTGTTTCAAAGGAAAATAGCCAAGCTCAACCCAAAAGAATTTAGTTTAATTCTATTCAAACATAACTGTAAGTCGAATGAGGCTATAATTCCACATTTTGTTGCACGTGAAATAACGCTCAAATACAATCTGCAGTGACGTACTGGGATTTAATAGGGGATAACGCTATGAGTATGACTGTATTTTTTTATTTAAATAAAATACATAATTACATTTTTTTATACATACCAGCCAGTACAACAGCCTCATAGACTTGTGGTCGCGACTGCGTGAGGTCATGTAACACGGCGAGTAGCTGCAGGAAGTGGTCGCGGGGCAGTGGGGGCGCCGCGCCCCCGCCTGCGGACCCCGCCCCGCCTGCGCCCGGAGTACTGGCCCCGCTGGCCAGTCCGGCCAGTCCACAAGCACGTACGCTCTCAACAGTGAAGTATGTTGGACCTGAAAATACATCTAATATATAATAACTATTGTGAAGTGCCATGCTTAAGCACGAATGAGAAATCTAAACCGGAGTAATACCACAGCCTAACAGAAAATCGGCGTGAAATATCAAAGCGTTGTGTTTTGCCGTGTGAGTGAGGTTCCAGGAGGCACAATCTTTCCCTCCCGAATCCCTAAATCCCCAAAAGGCTGACCACACATTTGAAACTTTTTTGGTAGTACATGGGCGATGCCGATTGCTTACTATCAGGTCGAAACTAGTCCGTACACTAGTTTGGTACTGTATTACATTAATATGTTGATTTCAATTCGATATCCTATTCATTGAATGGAGATCAGAACTCCATTCTAGTCTATTAGTTTTTCGGAAATACCATAAGCCTAGTCAAGTAATGACATTTATAAGTTAGTTATTTGAATGGCACTCACCGATTTGGCTGGTTTCCGAGTCACTCTTGTCCATTGGAGTGCCATCGCCACATACTTCGCTTATGGAGCGCTGCAGAGGGCCTGGTTCAGGTATCACCTCGTCATCAGTACTGAAATTAAAATAAGTCAAAATTTATTTAACGAAAACCTTAATCGCAAATGGCTGCAACGTAAGCTACAGTGGGATTAAAATATTTTTATGATATGAAATGTTTTTGATCGGAATTGAATTTGAGATTTGATGACGTACTCTTGAGATAAACAAAAACACATTGATGTTGCCCCATAAAAAAAGAGAAAGGAAATCTAAAAAACTATAACGGATATCTGTTTTATCACCCTGTTTTTAAGGTAAGAGAATCATCAAATTTCTTATTACTTGCCCTGAGTCCCCAAGATGGAGTGTCAGACCCTTTCTGACAAAAAACCACATTGTACTTTCTCCTGGTCTAGTTTAAGTCAGGTATAGAAATATAATGATTCTCCGCTCATAGACCCGTTACTTCTTCCTTCTTAACCTTAGTGATGCCGGTTTTCTGAGAAGTCTGAGTATGTAACACTTACGTTGTGTTTTGCCATGTGAGTGAGTTTACTGGAGGACCAATCCTTCACCTATCCTCAAATCCCCTATCATTAAAATCCTAATAATTCACAAGAGGCCGGCAATGCATTGCGTGTCTATGGGCGACGTCGACTGCTTACAACCAGGTAATTCATCTGCTTGTTTACCGATCTATCCCATAAAAAAAGAAATAAGTAAGCTATTTAACAAAAATTTGAACAAAAGTTTCGATTTAACAAAAGTTTCGAACTACAAATTATGACGTCATACTATGACGTCATAATTTCATGGCTTTTTTGTGAGGGAACAGTCATCTACTGACTTTTTTCACCCACGGTCGGGAGAGAGGGAGTGTCAGACTTTTATATACTAAAACCCCGCCGTTCTTTCCCTGCTCTGGGCCGAGGTGCCCCATTGCGCTTTATCCGCAACCCCGGCTCAGGATATATCTACCCTTGCCATCTCATTTATTACTGTATAGTTAAATACAAATTAGCTTTTTCTGAATTGAATTTGACTAGTTGGAATTAACGTATGATGTATGTGCGAAAATAGAGGTTACCTGTCAAAGAAGGATATGGCATCGGCAGCGAGTTCCTCCCCGGTGTCGGTGAAATGCGTGGGCATGAGGTCGCGGCGCGGCAGTAGCGGCGGCGCGTGCGCAGCGTAGAGCGCGCGCAGTCGTCGCGCCGCGTCGCCGCGCACCGACAGCCCCAGCGCCACGCTCAGCCCGCGCGCCGACACCACGCCGTCGTCGTCGTAGTCCATCAACTGTACCATACCAATACTTACTTGCCTACACTTAGCACTTGCTACAAAAATGCTCATACCTTCTCCGAGTGAGATGCCTTTGTTGAGCTATGGGTACTTTTTCTTTTTTAAAAAAAGTTGCCCCAAACTAGAATGTTCACTAATTATTATGGTTTCGGCTTACTCACGTAATAATTTGTAGAGATAGGTAGGTACTTGACTAGTATGAGTAGTCAGTAGCAGCGCGAAAGTCACCGCGTCGCGTGTCACAGAATGCTGCTCATGAATATGGGCCTCTAACATGGCTTGAAATTAGTCGAGTATCTCGTCAAATTATTACGTAAGCCGAAAACATAATAATTAATTTAGTCACGAAAGTTATAATAAAAATATAGAATGTTCACATACTTGAAAGCCCTTTTTTGTTAAGGGAAAATCATCAGAGGTCATCAATTAACTTCTCCCGCCCAAAGTGAGGAGAGAGGGAGTGACAGACTCTAACTGACTGAAAACACCCCCGTTACTTCGCCTGCTCTAGGCTTTCGAATTAGGTTCTAATTTGTCTTATGGTAGTAAATTACGTCCTATTCCCATTAATGTAGTGCATAGTGACTATCCAGATATTGCTATAGTTAAACAGGTTCTTAGCTACAGATAAATTGTGTCGACTTTGCAAAACAATTAAAAGGCAATTACACTTTAATTAATTTAGTTCAAGATAAAATAATTTTCGGAAATTTGTATTGAATAAAAACAAATCACGACGACACAACACAAAATCCAAGCAAAATTTATAGAAGACTGGATCTTGACAATTCGAATGAAAAGTTTCGAATTTGACCTATTATCATGTAGATTACTACTTTTTTGACTACCTACCAATACTTTTTATGCAATCACTTACCTTGAACATTCTCGCAGTAATGGCCTCAGCAAAATCACCTTTAGCCCAAGGTGATAAAGCACAGAATAGAGTCTTGAACTGGGTGTAATCTAGCCGGTAGGACTCGTAGGGAGCTTCCAACCGCTCGCAAGGTACGCGCTTAGCCCAGAGCAACTCTTCGCGGATGGCGCTCAGTAATTCCTAGAAAAGATTAAGATTTACTTATTATTAATTAAAAATTCAAACATTGAAAAAAGAAGAAAAAGTTATAGTTTAAAATAGTAACTATAAACTTTTATTCTGTACATAGTAAACGCTAAAGTTTGCAAAAATTGCAAGTAAGGTCGGGTTTTCGTTACTCGTTCGCGCAAAAATTAATAGATAAAATTAATAATAAATAACTATACATACATATAAATAATTTATTGTGGGCGAAGCTGCTCAAATTAAATAATAAAAGTTTTATTATTGTTATTACGATTTTAACTTAATTTGATAGTACAAAATATATTATTCAATTTAAATAAAATGTTATGGTCAATAAATAGTTATTGCACGTACCTATAGTTTTAAGAATATAGGCATATTATCATAAAAATTCAAATACAATGTAATATTGTTAATGAATAAATTATTTGAATTGGGAAAAAAACTAAAAAAATATTTAAATATGTATGTATATATCCACATGTATTCTTCTTTTTCGTTGCTATGTATTATCTTTATATTATTTTATTATTTACCTGTAACTCATTCAACTCGAGCAACTTGTCCTGCTGCAGAGCTCGAAGCGTGTTCTTCTCGAGGCTGTCCTCAAGTTGTCTGACGACCCTCAGCCGATGCTTCAGTCGCAAATGCTCGATATTCTCGTTCGAGACACTACTACCGTACGAACGGTACGACTGGTATATTAGCTCTTGGATTTTTATAGTCTGAAATTGAGAATTAGAAATGTTAAAATATAATAAAAAAATACATATTAATTAATAGGGAAAATCATGTCTATGATTTAGTTTATTTAAATTCATTTCCCCTTACTATATTTTCTTCCGTGTCGTGGGTGCCTTTATATCGCACCCCGACTCGGAACAACAATTTACGGATCATGCAAAGATTTTTTTCTATTCTGACTGTTCTTATCATTAATAGATAATTATAACTACTGCATTTTTAAATGATGCCTTACACAACTGTCAAATAGTTATAAAATCAAATAATTTAAAAACAGCAAATTAATTCGTCTTAGGCCGCAGAACCACCATATAATGAAAGAATTTCACATATTTAAGGCCCATGTTCTACCTTTTAATATGTGGGATTAACTAACTATCACTATCATCATCATCACATCAGCCACAGGACGTCCACTGCTGAACATAGGCCTCCCCCATTGACTTCCAGATAGGCCGGTTGGAAGCGACCTGCATCCAGCGGCTTCCTGCGACCCTAATCAGGTCGTCTGTCTACCTTGCGGGTGGACGTCCTACGCTGCGCTTGCCGGTACGTGGCCTCCACTCGAGAACCTTTCTGCCCCAGCGGCCGTCGGTTCTACGCGCTATGTGCCCTGCCCATTGCCACTTCAACTTACTAATCCGCTGGGCTATGTCGGAAACCTTTGTTCGTTTGCGGACATCCTCGTTTTTTATACGGTCTCTATATATACTATCACTATGATTTTCTGTTATCTTGCGAGCATTTCACAATTTCATTGAGGTGCCAGTCAGCAACAGTTGGAGAGCACCATAAGAATTTAAAATTGGTGTTAAGGCCACCTCCGACCTTTACGCCTTCAAGGTCAATTGCGGTTAGTACTCTACGATGTTCTTCTGTTTTCGTCGATCGATGCGAGCACAACTACCAAGTACCAAATAGAAGCTTGCTATAGGAATCTGTGAAGTAAACTTTGAAGTGCTGTTACACACTGGTTGCGATGAACAACTTTCTTTATTCTCTGCACCTTAAATAAGGCCATCCTTATTGAGTTTTTCTATAGACTGATGTTCGTGGTCTGTTATTCGATACTTTTTGGGTGGGGAAGTCATCACGTGACTTGGCATGACTTTTCTAGCCCTGGGTTTAGGCATTTTCAGACTCTTAATGACCAAAACCACCTGGTGACCACTACTTTTCCTGCCCCAGGCTGAAGCCGCGGTACAGTACTGCATTTACCCGCAAACCCAGCTGTTTCACTCAAATCGGTCGATACTTTAGCACTATGGAGGCCCAATCCTTCCCCTCCCCCAATCCCTCCTCAATCCCTAAATCTCCAAATCCCTAAAAGGTCGGCAGCGCACTCGTAGCTCCTCCGTTGCGAGTGTCCATGGGCGGCGCTGATTGCTTACCATCAGGTAATCCGTCGGCTCGTTTGCCGACATATAACATAAAAAAAAAATTATCCTAGATTTTAAACGGAAGAGTGACCCTTTCGCTATCCCTTTTTTAGGAGTGTCTCAGGTATTTCATCAGCAGGTTTCATCGCGACATCAATTCTAGATATCTAGAATAGGGATGCTTGGGTCTTGACGTTGGTTATTGCAAGTTTCTCTCGCTATGAATTACAGGTACGAAACGAACAAGACACACATTCACTAACCGGCTGGAAAACTGCAAACTGCCCCATAAGTTAAAATTCGAACTTTTCTGTGACTTATCCAAGTAGTTGATAATTTTTTGTGAATCCATAGTGCAAATATGCTAAATTCACAGTACCCCAACAATGACATCACATGACTTCAAGACTAGAACTTCAATTCAGTCAATCTCACCTTCAACGATATATCCTCCTTGGTGTCTTCGATGTGGTCAAAAAAGACGTGAGGTAGTTTCTGCAGCTCCTTTGCCGTAAAATCTGGCACGTCTTCTGGGTGGATTGTCTTCAACAAGTCGATGATATCCAATATAGTCTTCTCGACGCTATCATTCCGTTGAGATGACATCTGTCCGACTTGATTGAGTGATAGGAACCACAAATTGGCTATAGATCTTCCTCTTTCAAGGAGGATTTAACTTAAACGAACGCCATAATCCTAGGAAAATGATTAATGACAGTTTTAATGTTACAGTGACTCATACCTTTTCAGCAGTTCTTGGCTCCGTTGAAAGCGCCATTGCTTCCTCATTGTAGATGCCTTGAAGGTAATCGTTGAGTACTTGCATGGCTTGGCCGTCTTCAGTACACTTCAGGAGCTTTTCTCGGTTAATGTCGAGTATGGTGAGGGTTACCTATGAGAATGTTGAACATTAGCAATATTTTTTTTATTACAATTATGTTTCGTTCACAACACAAGTCGTTAACGATATCCCAGTTTTTAGTGTGGGAGAGCCATACTTAGGCACAAAGGCGCAGACTCAAGGGGAATGATAGAAAACCGGCGTGAAACAACTACATGGTTGTGTTTTGCCATGTGAGTTTTTTAGTTTGAGGTTACTGGAGCCCTACCATCCCCTCTCTTTATCTCTCCTAGTTCCTAAATACCCAAAACCCCCAATTCACAAAAGGCCGGTAACGCAGTTGCAACTTTTCTGCGGGTGTTCATGGGCGGCGCCAATAGCTCACCGTCAGCTGATTTGCCGCCGTATCACATAAAAAAGCATAGAATTTTTAATCGGGCGAAGTATTATTGAGTTTTTAACTTTTCAATTATTATTATTATTTTATTTTCTTATTCAGTTGTTCAGAAAGAATAATCAACAATCTAGCGAATAGGCTCATTAGAGAGGAATAGCAATATAATAACAAAATTTTCAGGATAGTAAGTGACAAACCTGGAAAATAACTTTAGCGCCATCGTAGAAGAAGCAGTCCATGACGTTGACAGCGCACTCGTAGGGCATCACACTGATAAAGAGAGTCAGGAACCAAGATAAGGAGATCATCTTCATCATGCCTAACTCATCGAGTTTGGCATGCAACTCTGGTAGATGAACTTCTGTCAATTCTTCTAATACACCTTGATCCACCTAAAAAGGAATTAATAGTTATTTAATAGCTATCATCATTTTAGCCTGGACTAGTAATTTTTAAACATTTGTATCGTTGACTATTATTTGATTTCTATTGTTTTTGCTTCAGTTTTCGACATCATATGTTGAACATTTCCACTTGTACAATGTGGGGTTTGAGGAAAGAAAATATCAAATGACAGAATGAGTAAGGAGTGTCAGACTTTTACTGACTAAAAGCCACCCCGCTTCAACTCCTACTTCAAGCCCTGGCAGCAATAATTTGTTGCGCTTTACCCACAATCCCGGCTCATTTCTTATAGCGATTAGGTATATGAGGACGGCGTAAAAAACAACATATAAAATTAGACTGCTATATATTACATTTTTAAAGAATACATTAGCATAAATATTGTGGGAGAGCAATGCTTCGGCAAAAATGGCTTTGCGAAGTGATACCACGGCCTCACAGAAAACTAGCGTGAAGGAACACTTACTCTATCCCCCCATCTCAATCTTCAAATCCCTAATGTCCCACAAGAGGCCGGCAACGCACTTCTAGTAACTCCTTTGGTATTATGAGTGTCAACGGGCGGCACTGATTAATTACCATCAGGTAATCCGTCCAGGTAGTTTGCCGAACCATGACATAAAAAAATAGATGAAACTTACCAATGCGCCAACCACCCTAGTGTTGTAATAATCAGGTAATAAAGTCTCACAGATGGTCGCTAAAAGCCAAAATGCCTGTTCTTCGGGGCAGTATATTAGTAACACGGAAGCAACAATGTTCATCGCTTGACAGTACCCTATTTGTGGGTTCTTTAACGCGTATGCGCATAGGACACGGCGAAGTGCTGAGATTCCTAAAAAGAGAGGTATAAAATAACATAAACCCGTTTTCAAAAAATCAAGGCGTTCTTATGTTTTTCTTGTCTACAGAACCAACTATCAACGGGTCGAAGTTGGTTCAACAAATCTATATACTTACTTATATACATACTTATAAAAATGGATCGCAAAATGTGTTGGTAAGTGCATAACTCAACAACGCCTGGACCAATTTTGCTAATTCTTTTTTTGTTGTGTTTGGTATTGTCAGGAGAAGGTTCTTATAACAGAAAATATTAGAAAAGTAGAGGGGAAGACTAGGAAAAGGTGACCCTTTGATAGCGAGATAGTTGGACCCGTGCGAAGCGGGGGCGGGCCGCTAGTACTTATATAAAAATGAAACATAAAATGTGTTGGTAAGCATATAACTCAGCAGCGGGTCGACCAGTTTTGCCAATTCTTTTTTATTGTGTTCTTTATCACTAGGAGATGGTTTTTATGGAAATTAGAAGTAGATAGATAATCTGAGAATTATTGACCCTTTCATCGTTAGTGGGGTAGCTGACCCGTGAGAAGGAGGGACGGGCCGCTAGTAAAAAATAAAATTAAGTATCTATTTATGTATTTTGTTCCACTTAAACCATAAATCCCTAATATGTAATAACTCACAAAAGGTCGTCAATGCACTTGTTAGTTGTAGCTCTTTAGTTTTACGAGTGTCCATGGGCGGCGCTAATTGCTTACCACCAGGTAATCATCATGCTGGTTTGCCAACTTATTCAATAAAAAATCAAAGTATCTGATATGTTAATCTTTTTAAAATGACCATTGACTCTTAAGCATTCTCTGTGACACCGTGCTTGTGGCACCGTCTTCAAACATATCACTTTTTTGATATCGATTAAAATTTGTATTAAAATATTTTAGTGTAGGAGTAGCGATATGATAGCATTGGCGCATAAATCAACACATTTACGGTAAATTGCAACACCCAGTATGCTGAGTCGACTACTCGTGTTGCCGCCTCGTGACCTACTTCCACAATGCTGATTTTGCATCTCCACTTACGTAGAATCATTCGGCCTATTATGTGTATTAATTAATAATTTACATTGGTATAACTTAGCATCATCCTAGTCTAGACATAAGAAAACCACCACAATTTTAAATTAAAAGTTTCTATTATTTCAAAATCCCCCGGCTGTCACCAACATAATTATATAAAATATTTATAATTTGCTCAAAAATTTTAGACTTACCAACATCGTTTTGGAAGGCTCTATGTTCAGGTAAAGACCGATGCAAATCCCTTTCTATCTCATCATTGGCCTGGTTCTTCGTAGAAAGAGCTTTGTTTACCAGTCGTTCATATAATCCTTTGTTCTGAGCTTTCTGGAGTATGGAACCTGAGAAGACACTCCATAGTTCTCCTCGTAAGAGCTCTGGAATTCCATTCACAACTAGTTCACTTCCCTCCGTTGTTTGGTACATACTGACGCCGCGGCCTACTTCTGCCATGTGATCTTCCCATTGTTTTTCCTGAAAAATACGTAAGTGTGTAAAATATGAGTTCTTTTACAAGTAGGCAGGTATCTTGTTCATTTAAAAAAGTTGCGCTAACTTTTGCGCAAGGGACATCGATTTTCGCTTTTTGCGCAAACAAATGCAATTGAAAAATGAGCTTACTATACATGTCTAAACAACGAACAAACCTTTTTTTGCTGAATTTGCTTTATAGGTGACGTTTGGTGAGTCCTGAAGAGTGTCATCAAGGGTGGCTGCGGAGTCCAACCTTCGACTTCGGACTGCGCCAACACCTTGGTCGCCTTTTCCCTGTACACATCACTGCATATTCACGCATTTGAATTAGTACACGGAAAACTGAACCTTAAAAATAAAATCCCAGTGTTGAAAACCGATGTTAGCTGAGTCTGGAACATGCTGTGTTAGAAGCTCCCTGTTAAAGAGAAAATGCAAAGACGACTGAAAAAAGAACACATAACAATATTAGAACAATTATTAATTAGCAGAATGGCATATAACATAACATCACTGGTTTTTATTGATGTGTTTTAAGATATTAGTCGAATAATGAAGTAATGAACACATTATAAAAACAAGAGCATAAAGGCAGAAAGTAGAAATCAAATCGTACTCACATTCTAGAAAAAAGACAACCCAGATTAATATAAATCCAGATAAAATTTCACATGGAAAAATTAGTTAATCGAACATGCATATGCATATGACTGAACAAAAACTTACTTGGGCAGCTTTGCAAGGAGTTCGGATATCTTATGGACTAAGAAGTCTCTGTCTGATATATTTCCGAATAAGAAGCTGGTGTGGTGTGCCGTCGTGATGAGGATGCTCCCGGAGTCCCCCGAGGAGCTGCCAGTTCCACCAGAGTCTGCCCGTTCCACTTGATGGACATTGCGGAGGGGTATTATGAGACGGACTAGATTGCGAACCTAGAAAGATTTGGAAAATGATAAGAAATTAGAATATGTCAAAGTAGGCTGCTTTGGATGAACATAAAAGTTACTTATTGAAACGATTTTAAGATCCAATATTATGTATTTTGCTGGTCCCTTCTTAAGTCATACTTCGAAAGAATCTAACTAGACTAACACATTTTTACTTCCTAGCTAAGAAAACAAATGTGAAATGAAAACAGCATTCAATTCCATGTTGCCATGCAATATTTTTTAGGATATGCGAAAATGTGACCCTAGCTTCTGTTGGTCATTCATTACTTTTAAATATTTGTAATGAACAGTCATCGACTTGTTGCAATTTTATCATAAGTTGTTGCAATTTGTAAATCAATCAGACGTAAAATATACAAAAAACAAGATATTCCAAGCAATGTTTTTGGACTTAAAAGATGTTGTTTTAGTTTGTCACACAGTGTCTTATTTCTCTTACATTTTTCCTTTCGAAGGACTGCAGGAAGAGATTCCATATAGAAATATGCAGTTCCTATGTACCTCTGTCTCTGTATTTGTTCTCTATTTACTACTGTATGTGTGATGTGCATAAATAATAAATAAATAAATATAAAAATCATTGTAAAATATTTGAATGTAACATAAAACTTAAATAGGCAACAAAACCAATCTAAATACCACAACAAAGGTTGTGTAAACAAGACTGACTCAGAATAGCTGCGATAACAAACCTAGTACAATAAATAAACTCACTATTTACACAGATTGCACTAAGTCATTAATTCTTATTGCTTTTGAATAAGGTCTAGTTATGTGCAACACCCGAGAGCGTTGAAGATCAATTGCATAATAATAATTATGTATGCAATTGTAGTTAGTCTATCTATTATTACGGCTTAGAATGTACTGAATGACATTATTTGTATTGATATCTGTAATTATTTATCTGCTATTGCAAATGTGTAACTTCGTATACAAAAGAGGATATTCAGGATTCCCCTGTTAATAAGTTATCTAGAAATTACTGCTTTGTTATTATCGGCATAGAACCTAGTTTTGCACGTGCATATACTTCGAATTCATTTATACTATTTTCTTCTATTAATTTCTACTATTGGTTTCATAAAATATGCATGTTACAAATAAAGTCATGAGTATAAATGTGGATGGATGGAGAGGGAGAGAAAGACCAAAGAAAATATGGATGGATTGTGTGAGACATGATATGGAAGACAGAGGAGTTAGTGATAGCGTGACGGGCGACAGGACAGAATGGAAGAAAAATTTTTTTTTTGGGGCTTTATTTGGGGTCGTGTGTTTGTCAAATTACTGTGCCTACCCTAGGTCGGGCGAGTGCCAGACCCTGAATTAAAACCACCCCATTTCTTTCAACCTTGAGCAACCATGGTTATTAATGCTCAAACAATCACCGTGTGAATGGCCGATGATGTGATCCAAGTACCACAGAAAATTATCCAATTTGATGAATATCATAGAGCGATTTTGCTGTGTGCCTTGGATTTATTTAGAAACACGATAGTTCGGACATTTTTAATAAGTACAAAGTTAAAAGATACTCATTTCTTGATTTATCGATACACTTAATTTTCGAATTTCTCTCCTCGATTTTATCAAGAAATAAGTATGCTATTTGATGCCAAATTATCTTGACGTTATAAATAGCGATTTGTTCAATTTGACTAGCTTGGAACTAGCGGATATTGAGCATTAAATAATTTTATATTGAAGGACATGGTATTTTTTAAACGTAACCATTTCCTGTTGCAATCTACTAAAACTACTAATGTTTATAATTATTATTATAGAGTATAATAATAGAACCAATTTTCCTCTGCAAAAACAAATACTTATTTTCAGCCAAATTATGATCAAATTATGTTATAAAACTTAATATAAATACAGACAAGATTTGATATCTTATCATAATTTGAGTAGAGAATATCTTCTAAATGCATAATGGAGTCAACGACAGTTAAATGCCTTAACTAAACTAATTGTTATTTGTTTAGCACTAAGATCTTAACAATTTATGCTCTTAAACAAATTCACATTATCATCAGCCTATGCGTGCCCACTGCTGAGCAAATGCCTCTTCTCACGTGGAGAAGGCTTGAGTATTCATCAACACACTTGTTTAAGACAAATTGGCGATTTCGAATTTATAATTAGACATTACCTTATTACAAATCAAGGTTTTTCTTCAAGTGTTAATCATGGAGCCAGTTGTGATTTCAAATTGAAGGTAGACGAGAATAAGATACAAAACTTGACTCAACGGTTTAAACCTAGACTAAAGATAAATGTTAGTTGGAAACTCTAAGTTTTCTTGCGATGTTTTCCTTCACCGTATGTCGGAAATGTATGTGTACAACTCGATAAATGTCATATTCGTACTTTTAACAGGCTTCAAACCACGCATTATAGAGAAGTCTAGAATTCAAGTGTGGGAGAGCCATGCTTCGGCACGAATGGGTCGGCTCGACCGGAGTGATACCACGGCCTCACAGAAAACCGGCGTGAAATAACCACAGCGTTGTGTTTCGCCGTGTGAGTGAGGTTACCGGAGGCCCAATCCTTCCCCTCCCCCAATCCCTCCTAAATCCCTAAATCTCCAAATCCCTAATCCCTAAAAGGTCGGCAACGCACTCGTAACTCCTCCGTTGCGAGTGTCCATGCGCTGATTGCTTACCATCAGGTAATCCGTCTGCTCGTTTGCCGAGCTATTACATAAAAAAAAAATGAGAAGCGGGCGCCTTAACTTTTGGGCCTTTTCTCAGCAGTGGGCTCTTATAAGCTGATGATGGGATGATGTGATAATGAAAAAGCAAGGAAAATTTACGTATATGTACAGTCATTGCAATCGCTAAATACTTAAGATTACATGATGTCATCTAATGACGTTATAAACAAACTCAAAGGTGGTCTACTCTCTTTGGATAAAAATATAGGAGGATGACAAATAAGAGAATGATCAAAAGATGGATAGATTAGATTTTAGGAGTGATATATGTATAAGAATAGTCACTTTTTGACTCATTGATGACGTCTAACAAGACAAAAACACAATAGATTCAGTATCTAACTTGGCATAACAGTAGGTAGAATCATCATCATCGTCAGCCTATAAGTGCCCACTGCTGAGCAAAGACCTCTTCTCATACGGAGAAGATTAGAGCATTAATTACCACGCTTGCTCAATGCGGGTTGGCGATTTCAAAGTTATAATTAGCAATTATACGTCCAGGTTTCCTCACGATGTTTACCTTCACCGTATGTTAGTGATGTCTAAATAATTATAGGAAGCACATATAACTCAGAAAAAGTCACATTGGTACTTTTCGAACCCACACCCTCATGCATGAGAAGCGGGCTCCTTAACCTCCGGGCCACCACGACCCACAGTAGGTAGAATGATATAATAGAACTAGCGACCCACCCCGGTTTTGCACGGGTCCAATGGTGATAAATACTAATTTTCTCCACTATTTATCGGATGTTATTCTACATATAAACCGACCTTTTCAATCACTTTCACGTTGCGTAGTTTTAAGGATTTATGCATACATAGGGAGGGACTGAGAAAGCGACTAAGTTTTATACAATGTAGTAAAGAATACACATTACTCACCCGACTTTCAAAACAAATGAAGTTCTGCGATAGGTACAGCCTTCCCCAATTATGTCTCTTATTATAAGGAGTCCACAAAGTACATTCTTCCGTGCCGTCCAATTTCTCATTTTGTGGCAATCTGAACCTTAAAGTGAAGAGGTTAGATTGCTTTCTTGCATCCAAATCTCTTTTTAAGAACGATGGCTTCTTCGGTACGTTCTTGCTGAGTTTCGTCAGAAGATCCTTGTCAATGTTGAAGGATCCTGACTTGTCATCGATTAGTCTGTAAAGATGGAGAGGTTTTTGTAAAAAAAATATTAATTTTTATATATGTGTGCTTGCACTGGATTGAGACTACTCAATCAAGTGGACCACCCAATAAAGGAATTAAGTGGTCATAGGTCAGACCAAGACTCATATGGGATGTTTGATATTCTGATAAATTTGATTTGTGGCATAATTTTCAATCTTTGGTTTAAAGGAATAGGGTCCCTTTTTATTTTACCAGAATCATGTCTTAACATACTTAGACTGAGTAAATGAGGGGGAAAGATAAGGTAACGCTTCTTTGAATTTTAAGCAGAAGTTTTCGAGACAATTGAATCAGTCTTTTTGTTTTTTTATATAAATACAAAAATGAACTAATCAATATTATTAAACCGTTCTGGTGTATCAGGTTATTGATAACAGCTGACTGACAAACAGACGATCGGTTTTATTTTCACCTTATCTATAAAATTCACGAAAATTTTTGTTAGCATTTTACACTAATTACATATCCACGCAACTGGAGCATAAATTGTAAAGTCAAGGGTATTGCGCAGTTATATTTTAAACTAGCAATTCGCCCCGGCTTCGCTCGTGTACATTGCTGATATTAAATTTTCAGCAGGGGAAATTCCTCTGGGAAAATCTAATGACTCTTTTTACCCTGGATGGAAGATAGGGTCTGTCAGACTCTTCCTGGCTAATAACCACGCCATTAGTTATCCTGCTGTAGGCCGGGGCCGCAGTACATTAATGCGCTTGACACGCAATCCCGGCTGAACATGAGCCCTATTGGCTGCCATCTGTGGTGGGAAAATTGTACTTATTTCTAGTTAGGTATAAAGCTTAATATGTTATGTCAATACATATGTTTTTGCCCTATGACCTACTGATAGCTACTTTGATTCCGCAATAACGTAAATTACAAATAGATAATACAAATACGTATACTATATAATTAAAAAATAGCTTCCTAGTTCAGAACATAATAAGGTCAAAAGTTTAATTTCTTTTCTTTCTTTTTCAAGATCAACTTTATACCTTTGAAAACCGTTTTGAAATCTGTTCAGCAGTGTTTGAGTTCATCGCAATCAGAAACACGGTTGCGGGTGCAAGTACAATAATGCACCGCGGCCCAAACCTAGAGAATGAGAAAGAACGGGGTGGTTTTTAGTCAGTAAGAAACTGACCGTCCCCTTCGCTCCACGCATTGCAAGAGAGTTATTTAACGACATCCCTCCTCAAAAGAAGTGTGGGAGAGCCATGCTTCGAATGGGTCGGCTCGACCGGAGTGATACCACGGTCTCACAGAAAATCGGCGTGAAACAACCACAGCGTTGTGTTTCTCCGTGTGAGTGAGGTTACCGGAGGCCCAATCCTTCCCCTCCCCAAATCCCTCCCCAATCCCTAATCCCTAAAAGTTCGGCAACGCACTCGTATCTCCGCTGTTGTCGCGGGTGTCCATGGGCGGGATGGCTGATTGCTTATCATCAGGTAATCCGTCTGCTAGTTTGCCGACCTATCAGATAAAAAGAATTGCCAAAGACTTTTGTTTAAGAATATATAAAACCTTTAAATGAGCCAAGTAACTTTATAGTAGGTACAACATAACAAGTACCATAAATAATGCACAAGATATACATAAAGTAGATGTGTAAATCATTTCAGCAAGTACAGTACAGCTCTTCAAACAACCAGCTTATCTTAATCCAACTCGCAGTGCATGGCTACACATTGTAATATGTCAGTACTTAGATAGGTATACTAAGCACTTAGGCTTAATTAAGGTTCAATTCGTCCTTTATTTGCCCTTGAAACCAAATGTCAAGTCTAATGCCCTCGTGGGGCTTGCGGCAAAGGTGGACTATTCAATGCTGTCTTTGTATATACGAAAGTCGTTATATTCCGAGTAAAATGAGCTTTATTGTGTATTGTGAGGGGTTAATTTTCATTGAATATTATAGTCATGTGTCACCGTCTCATCGTCTGGCGATAAATTAGTTACATTGGACATTAAATGGTTACTAATTTTAAGCATACTTAATGTTTTTTTTAGGTGGCAATAGGCTAATATATGATGAAAGTATTAATTGTAATTTACTTCAAAGGACAGAACGCAACACGACGGGCAAAGGTCATATAAATCACCAAACACTAAAATTGCTAATCACTAGACAAAAGAGGATGCCTATTACGGAAAACCAGACATCATCATGACTTGTAACTTGACATGTAATTAATTCGCTATTGATTACCTACATGTGTCTAAAATGCACAATTTAAATGTCTGTGTAGACTTAATGCCTGTTTCAGCATCTTCATAGAAGTTACATAATAAACTTTTATAGCACAGAGTTTATACCACATTCAAATTTATCTAGAACAACTCGGCTATTTAGGCATTGTAAAACAGGCTCTGGGCATGTTTAAAGTGTGTATGTGACGTGTGAGTTCTTAGACTGGTTGACTTAAAATCCTACTATCCTAATAATATTATAGTTGTGGAAGTTTGTCAGAGTGTGTGACTGTATGTTTGTTGTTCTTTCACGCAAAAACGGATGGACTGATTTGTTATTTAGATATAGGTGATATCCTGGATTAACACAAAAGCTGCTTATATCAACATACCACGGGGGCGATTCCGCGAAACTTCTTTTCTATGAATCTTCGCGCCAATTATATTGAAATAGGTCTGGATAATGACTCTACTGATGTTTTTGAGTTGCATGCCTTCAAAAAGTAATCTTTCTTTATGCAGGATGATCAATTAATTATTATTAAAAAAAAACAAAGTAACTCACTGTTTCATAGCAATATTGGCCAACTGCTGCATCAAGGCAAAAGTTTCATTCTTCCTCAGAAATAGTGTAAAGTAATGTTCTCCGTCTCTGGTCACCACTTTTATGGAGTCGGGAAATAAGAGGCTGTTGGTCTTGGCTAACTCTGTGACGTCTGCCCAACGGATCTTTATGGAGGTTTTCCGTCCAAATATGTAGGAGTAGAAACACATGTAATGCACTGAGAGGTACATCCAACCTTGACGGGGCATCTTTCCCTTCCAGTAACTAAAAAAAAAAAAACATTTTAAGACTTTTTCTGACTACCGACAGAAAACTATTTAAGGTAAATCCTACGCTGCTTAATAGGTATCTTTCACTTAAGTCAATAGAGATTGACTAAAGAGAAAGATGGGTAAAAAATGTATTGACTGCGTAAAGCTGATACTCTACTTGCGGTTTTGTCTTTTTTTTCGTTAAGAAAAGAAAGACTATAGGCATATAAAGAGAATATGTTATAAAAATATTGGTATTAAAGTCATAATTTGGTTCAAAACCAATTCGCATTTGTATTTACAATACAAAATTATGATGACAAACAATAATAATTGGCAGTTGTTATTTAGATAGTACTACTGTACAATTAACCGCAATCCATAAGCCTGGCTTGCATTGCAAATTAAGTTAAGATGGTCTTCGTATAAGACACAATATTCAGTAATTGGACAGTTTGCCAGGTCAAATACAATGGATTAATATATTAAAATCATTCTTCCATTAATTGATTTGACAATATACTCAATATGCAATATACATATACACATACATTATGACGTAATATGTAGCGATTTCATTAAAAAAATACACAGAAAAGTAGCATTTTTACATTTCCATAAAAATATTCAAGTTAAAAAGTTAGAAACGGCCAGATTGCAATGTCTGAATCATTTGTAAAACAGTTTGTACAATCAATTAGGTCTATTATTAATTTCAATTAGTATTGTAGATGAGTAAACAAATAACAATAGACGTATTACTTACCTACAAGAATAATAGCAGACAAGTTTCTCATCTTTGGGCATGCGGAACCTTTCGTGGAACTCATAGTCCACATTTTTATATGTAACTGAGTCTTCATCTAACAAAAAATAAATAAAAATCAATTTATTTTTATTATTAATATAATTATACATATAAGTTGAGGAAAAAAGATTACTAATTTCTAAAATACTTACATAGTGTATTTAATATTTTATCACTAAATTGTCTAAGCATTTCAAAGTTGAAGAGCTTCTGCCTTCTAATTTAAGGAACACTACTAAATGCTGATATTAAAATTAATAAATACTCAATATATTCATTTGTAGTTTAAGTGTGATAAAGAAATAAACATCATTACTACAAATGCATTCTTAAATATTTGAATAAATATCAGAACCAGTAATTAATAAATTATCACCTTTTTGGAGCACTTAAAGGGGTAGTGTTATTTTATTTAATATTGTTTCATGGCAATAGCTAATTGGAAATTGCTAAGATCTTTTAAAATTATAAATACATTTGAATAGAACATACATGAGATTGATTGCCATACCTTCAGTGAAAATCTCCTGTTCCGTTGCAAGAATAGAATTTATTTTGCAGCAAACAAACTCAGTCACTTCTTCTTCTGTATCAAAGGAATGGAGAGTTGGGCATACATTGTCAAACAACCATTGCCAATCTTGTCTTATTTCTTGTTCAGTCAATGCTGTAGCTATTACTGTAACAAAATAATAATATTCAATAACTAGAAATCTAGTACAGTACATATACTATACTAGATTTGGTTTCGATATGTACTATACTAGATTTGGTCAGGCTTAGAAACATTGGCTTTAAAATTAAAAGTTCATTTTATTTTCATAGGCCCATTACTGAACCTATAGTGAATATAAGCCTACTTACTGTTGTAACCTGCTTCCAGCCTACATGCAGTAAGGTTTTTGTTCTATCAGATAATATTAATGATAAAAATGTCTAAAAATGTATAGGAACAGGAACAAGGAATACATTCTAATAGTGTAGCTATCATTTGAAGGATCAAAGTTGTTATGAAATACAGGAATGGTCAAAGAAGTCATCAACAATGGGTGTTGCCTATTTTTTCTTCTGAAGAAATTTAAAAAGTTTCATTTTATTAAGAATACCCTATTATATCTCATATAGCAGTAGAAAATCTATGACTATCATAATCTTGATTGAAATTCCATTACTCTATTGATCTAAAGATGTTTTTTTTTTTCTATTAGACATAGGTACCTATGTCTAATAGAAAAAAAAAAACATCTTTAGATCAATAGAGTAATGGAATTTCAATCAAGATTATGATAGTCATAGATTTTCTACTGCTATATGAGATATAATAGGGTATTCTTAATAAAATGAAACTTTTTAAATTTCTTCAGAAGAAAAAATAGGCAACGTAGCGACACCGAATCAATGTTTGTATAATTAAGTTATGATTTATTTTAAAGAGAAGTAAGACACTTTTTTATAGACAAATGTTCAACCCTTATTTAAAGCAAATGAAGAATTATGATATTATTTTTAAACTAGACTCTGTTCGCGACTTACTAGATTAATAAAGTTAAACTGTATTTGAATGATTTAGTAATCTGAAAATTAAATAATTTAAATTCTAAAACTGTATTATTTTTTCTTAGGTCGCTGCCGCCGTCATTAGTTGGGTCGGAAATATCCTGCTCGGCGAGCGACCCGGGCCCTCAAGAGGGTGCCCGTGCTCCGCCGCCTTCGCTGCGGCTGTCGCGGCTGCAGCGGCGAAGCCGGCTACAACGGTATCTCTCGCGACGCCGGCGCCGATGTGAATGTAGAGTGTGCGGGGCATGCCACACTTAAAAATATTATATTTAATTAAACTTTACTTACCATTTCTTATTTTATTCATTTGAAGCACATGCTTCACACTCATCCGGGGGAAAGTGGTCATAGACGGCCATTGGGCAATTTACACAAAAAAAAAAGTTTTCCTCACTGATAACTGCTAAAATATTATTGTTTATGCTAAAATCTATGATAAAATGTTCTGGCAAATAATCAGGCACTGGATAGTAGCACCCAGGACAAAGTTCCCGTTTAATGAAATGGGTTTCACCCCATGGCCATATTTGTCCGTTTTCGAACATTTCTATAAAGTCATCTACACTTAAAAATCTGTCTACGTCCATAAAAATGTCATCCATTATATAAAACTTAAACCAGATCACTTAATCAAAAAGCGCTACCTAATTAATATAAACTACGATACTTAATATATCACTAAATCAAAGAGCACTATCTACTGAAAACACTAAAACTACACAAAGAACATTGAAAGGGTAACTATGACCTTTCAGAGCAAAACCTTACGAAATACTGACAATATTGACCAAACATTTTTAATATTTCTGTTACAAAAGTTATTCTTCTGTTCAAGGGTCAATAATATATGAAATTTATTAGTTGCACTTCAAGTGATTAGGAAACCACTTTTCACCACCTTAAGAAGTTTGTACTCGAAACAATAAAATCTGATAAGTTCGAATTCTAAAATTAATTTGTTATGTGTGAATGAATATACGATAACTTTTTATAGGAAAGTAAAGGAGTTGTTGAAAAAGTTTGCCACAACAATTCCAGAATACTATTTCATAATATTAGGCATGCCATACACATTTACACAATATGGTTTATTTATTTATTTTATTGAATTTAAACTACAAGTAGGTGACATAATACCATTGACATTCTTTACAAGGAAATAAGTGAGTTGCGTAAGCAGAAAAGAATATACTAATAAATAATGTTATGCTCCGAAAAAGATAGTTAAAGAATATTTTTTCTCAGGGATATTGGCCGAACAGATGTCTTATTTTTTATATTACAATAATAAACCATACTAAAGTTATCCGGTAACGCAAAGTTTTCACTGCATATTTTTTGCGATGTCTAGTATTATAAGATGGTTTTTACAACAGATGTTGTCTGGTTATTGTTTCGGTAAAAGAGTTTGTAACTCTTTTACCGAAACAATAACTCTCTAAGTAATACGACAGAAAGGAATAGTTGTGTTACTTGTTTAACATTATCATCAATTTATAATATAGAAATTATAGTTACTACAAAGCGTCGGTGACTCAGCATATCGTGTCAAAATTAAATTATTAGCAGATACTTAGTAATTTTAGACGTCAGCGTATATCCAGCGATTATTTTGATTTTTTTATTGCTTATAGGTTTAAGAAAAGAAGTATTTTAACGTTATTCCGTACTATTTATTATAAAAAAATATAAGAAAAAAAGGTAGGTATAATTTAAATATAATTTAACACGAAACCAATCTCTTAAAGACAACTTACTGACAATACAATTTAGATAAGGAAAAAAAACATTCGTTACACAGCAAAATATATTACACTTTTATTACATAATATCGATCTATCTACCTATCTAAGACATAGTTTTAAAGTCATTAATAAGGATCATTAAAATTAGTATAATACTACATATTCCAAACAAAAAATACTTTTACATACTAAATACTACAACTAACAAACTCAACTCATATTCTACTTACTTACAAAAAATATATTAAAATTTCAAGTTGTGATATTACATTGAAGTAAAAGAGAGAAAACGATACGAAGAATTATTACAAGATTGAAATATTTTCTTTGTAATTAATATGTCTAAGGTGCGGGATAGGTATAGGAAACCAGCGATAGAGGAATATAAATATTAATCGTAGAAGTTTTAAAAACGCGACAATTACGCTTTAACAAAATATTGCGGTTAATATTTTGTTAAAGCTCCGCCTGCATCTATAACAGCATCGCATCTGCTTCGCATGGATTTTACTAAGGACTCGCACAGATCCGACCCTCGGAGCGATTCCCACACCTCGTCAACATGTGCAACTAACGCCTCTTTTGTTCTCTCAGATCTTGAATCCCATCGTTGAACCATTATAGCCCACAAATTTTCGATGGGATTCAAATCCGGAGAACGCGAAGGCCAGGGCACAGTTCGAAGATTGGGCTGTTGGTCAATCCACTGCTGCACTATGCGAGACCGGTGTATCGGGCAGTTATCCTGAATAAAAGTTATTTCAGGATGTTCTGCCTCTGGATAAACCACTCTCACAGTAGGCAACATTGTGTCTTGCAACAGCTCCAAGTAGGTTGCCCCTGTTGCTCTTCCGGGGATATAAACCAATTTCCCGGGGCCTGCTGCACTCATCCAAGCCCACATGTTGACGACCACCCGCCCAGACTCATTGTTGGGTAGGACATTCCTAGGTTCGTATCTGGTGTTGTTCACACGCCATAAATGTCGTCGGCCTATCTGACTTGATTTAAAGCTCTTTTCGTCGGTAAATATGACGCGTGAAAAATCAAAGTCCCTGTAATCTCGAGCGAATCGGACACGAGCTGTTTTATGGGCTTCAGTGAGTAAAATCTTTTTCGCTGGTTTTCTATTCCTTATTCCCGCACGCCGTAGACCATTCCTAATGGTTTGAGCTGTGCAGTCAAACTCCTCGGCAAATAGGCGAGTAGGCGTGAATGGATGCTGCTCATAAACTGAGACCATACGCTGCACACGTTCCTGTGTGAGTATGCTCGGTTGCGGCATACGTGGCATCCTTTCTAGACTCCCCTCGCTGTCGAATCGGCGAAGCCATAATTTCACCGTATTTCGCTGAAATGAAAAAAAAACCATTTTATGGCTCAATGTTTGAGGAATCTAATCTAAGAGTTCATACAAAAAATTAACACAAACTGAAAAAAAAAATAAGTAAGTCATTTCATAATTACTGGATATAAAAATATTAAACATAAATTTACTTTTACAAGGATAAATGGACCGTTCATAAAAGCTGTGTTGTCTTATCCACTCAGCTAGGGGAAGTTTTGAGACCCTTTCTAAAAATTGTGAAGTGCATAGATATTGAGCAAATAATTTATAATAAATAATACTCACCGACATATTCAATTCTCTCGATATTTCTGATATATTTAACCCAGAATCTCTTAGATTGATTATGCTACTCCGTTCCACAACTGATAGATTTCTGTGTTGGCTCATAATGAAGAATTACTTTCTTACTCAAAATAAAAAAAAACGTTGTTGGTGTAAGACTCACAAGTTGCAACTGAAGTAACAAAATTATCAAAAACTGACTTAACCTCGCAAGTCATAAAATTGGGTAAACAAAAAGGTGGCCCATTAGTAAAAAATGGACCTTTCTCTGTAATTGGTCAAATAGAAAAGGGGCGGATCGCCATGTGGTCACCTCATGCAAGCAAAAATTTTTCATAAATGGTCAACCATGGCCTTTGGCGATTGTACATTTTAAATAAATGTTAACCTATATGCAATGGATATGAGTCATATGAAAAAGGTAAACAATAAAATAACAAGAAAATGTTTAAACAACCTTTATAGTTGCTTTGCATTGTGATTGCATTTTCTAAAGTATTATGGTAAGAAATCTAGTCTCATTAAACCCAATTAGACTCAGAAATAGTTCCTTCAACCTAAAAATCTAAATCAATGCCAACTACATGTTATGATGTTATTTTTTTTTATTTCTAGGAAAATGCAGATGTACTGCCATTTACATAATAATACATAACCATGAATTTTTGTTTTTGTTTTGGTTTCAACTTCTAATAACAGAATTAGACCCAATACTAATTAATATCTAATTATTCAAATTATGATCAAGTTAGAATGTAAATACTTTTTCTCTTATTTCAGGAAAAAAATTGAATCTTGTAATAAATGAGGATTACCATAATACACCTCTGAGTTTGGTGTCTGGTGTAAAATTCTATAGGGCGCTGGTTTTGTATCTCGTACGCTGTCTAAAGTACCCACAAGAAGCGAAGAGAATCCTTTCGATTTCCCATGCCCTTTCCTTCTCTGCAGGACAAAGTACAAAGTTGTTTCGTCGGAATCCCTAAGGGCAGGACAATAATATTAACACAATTTCACAATCAACTTTATTGCTAATGATAAGCGGCCATCGTAAACATAATTACCAAAGCGCAGTTTTTAAGAAAATTTCTTGAGGTTTAACCCACATAATGACTATTTACAAAATTCAGTCTGTAATGCCGATACAATTTTTTAAAATCACAAATTCACAATCATTGTGATTCCACAAATTATATTTTGAAATTAAAAATATCGCTGAGGACACACAACAACAAAATAATATTCGAGTTTGACATTGACACTGACATAATTGACATATTACTCAGCTCCACTGATAAAAGATTATTTTATTTGATTTCAACTTTTGATACATTGGATAAAGGCTTTTTGTTACGCATAAGATTAATAATCTGTTGAGCCAATCTCTACTGGCTGCCCCAATTTCAATGGCACCATTGAGCTGAGATTTGAAGTCTATCGATCTTTGATGCGGTTATTTAGCTTACAATATCTACTTTAAACGAATTGCTCGTCATTTAGTTGCAACACAGCATTAAGCATCTACTACAAAATAAATTTCCGTATTAGCATACCTAGGACATGTTTTATGTATTCTGATTTATATATTCTGATATAGTAGACACCTACAGAGGTCTTCATACGTTTATGGGGGCAACGCAAGGAATTGTTCCGTTAAGTAAGTAGTCATTGTTTCTATTTTGTCATGCGTATGAACTGGAGATTCTAACCCGGGTAACATATAGGAATATAATTTGTGGGCTGTGGAATATGCTCCCGCAAGGAAAAACTGTGTAGATGTGAAAATAATATCTGTTTAAAGAACAAATTATGAATGAAATATTTGTTATTAATTTATTGTACAATGGTGTTGATTTCACAATTCACTACGCTTCCTTTATAAGCCAAAAAATATTTTTTTACAACAATAAATGAAATAATTATAAACATAAATTTCAATGATGCTCCTTTTCAGCATTTTTTCTTTGAACTTCTGCCCAACTCCTTACGTTAGCTTCGGAATTCACTAATCTATGAATTTTATAGAACACATAAAAGCTTCCGAGACAACCCACAGGCCAATACATCCAAATCCAATTATTTTTCATGTAGAAAAATAAGGGATATTGAGCTATTTTCGCCGATAAAGTGTAGGGAAATTTCATATGACGACCGGATTTTCTGTGAAAAATATATTATATTTATTATATATTTATGGGTTATTTTTAGCAAGTAGGTATAGTCAGTCCTTTGAAAAGAATATAAACTATACTATATTAAACCAACTTATAATCAATCCAAAGATTGAAGATAGTTTTAGAAGAAGATATTAAATCAAATTACCCGGCAATTATTCCATAATTACGACACGTTTTTTCGAGAATTTCATAATATCGTTTCAGATCACTTGGATAAATCATTTTTATCTTTTAAATGCTGTTAGTAAAGTAAGCTAAAATTAATATTTGAAAAATCTGACATCTACCGTAGACACATTGTCAATAGCCATAGATTTTCTAACATGCAACGTTTGGTAAACATGTCTAATGGGTCATTATCAGGCATGTAGGAGAGACTATAAGGCATTTAGGAATTCTTTTCTATTGTCTAAGTTATCAGGAAGCTTATTATTCGGTTGACTTCGGTGACATTTTTTTTCTATTTGTCATTAGTATGAAATATCTGATCTCAAATTAGTTTTACACGTTACAGAATCGTACGAATCGTTACCTAATATGTACGTACCTATTGTACCTAATGGATTTAGGGGATTTAATTTTGTTACATGGTATCCGCCAAATCAATTAAGTTCAATAATTTTTATTTGCGATAGGAATATCAAGTTCTTACTTATTTATCCATTCATACTGGATTTCAACGCGTGCTCATTTATTTGGACTTTTTGAAAATGACCGTAATAACTTATTAAGCTCATTTTCATACTTCCTATACTATGTGCTTTTACAAACTCAATGGTAATATTTTTATGCCGCTTAAACTACATGATTTTGAATTTTTCTACTTTACAAGTTTTTTAATTGTTATAAATTTCTGAACGGAAATGTAACAGTCATAGTAACTGACCCCTTTCCCCCCCGCCCCGCGCCTCTATCTGATTTCTGTCCCCTTCAATTTGTGATTTGTAAAATTCTCCTGAATTGAAAAGGCAACGCTGACACAAACGAGATATAATTTATTATTAAACGCCTTAATATTCTGCTGAAATGTGTGATAACGAAAAAGAAGAAGCAGCTAATCTGGTTTGTCATGCAATTTGTATATCATCCGTTGTAGAAGCAACATCGAGTAGACAATTTGTTTCAATCATTTACAAGAGTTATGTTATAACGATATAATGAAATTTGTTTTAGAAAGAGGAATTTGAATGGGTCCTTCGCGAAGAGGTACACGCGATATTACACCAGCTTCACACAGTGCTAGTGGTAAGTACTGTCTATTTGTAAACGAATGTAATAAAATAATTTGATGTGGTTTTAATTCAGGATTTTCATTTTAGGAATGCGCTCATAGGTTTCCCGTGCCGTTATATGGTAATGAGGGACAGAAACAAGATAAATTTATATTGACATCACAGCCTGAACAATTAAAATGTATAGTGACACTAACTGGGGATAGCATATCCCATGCTGTAAGTATGAATCATTAATATTAATATAATCAGTAAAAGCATTACCACATTATCTGTATGTTTCTGACGACTACCTCATTAGATTATAACCAGTAATAAGAATCATATTTAGTAACATCATATTCTTTTTTTAGGATATAAGTTTCAAAGTTTTACGGCAAATGCACACAATATGCCGTACATCAATCAACCAGGATGGGCCATGGAAGCTGCAGCAAATACAGGATGCTGCAAATCATTTACAACAGGCAATTGGTTATATTGATAATGTGGATAAACATTATGTATTCAGGTATGTAATTTTGTGTTTGAATGCACACAACCAAACAACCAACCATTACCAAAACATCTCTAGTAAGCAGATTTGCCTAATTTAAAACTGCTAGGATATCTGTGTAAAAATTGACACAACATGTTTAATTTTTGTAAACATTTTTTGTTTTTACACTATTATTTTTGTTCAGAATAATGTGTTTGCATAGATATTTACCTAAATTATTTATTTATTGAGCTTCATGCACAAGTATTGTGTGCATAATATGGAAATAATACCATTAGTTTTCAGTCTTTAATTATAGGCAGAGATTTTAAATACCTAAACAAAGTTTTGGTAGGACTTTTTAGCCTATAACTCCAAAATAAAGTTAATATATGCTAGCTATGTTTGCATCTCTATCTCCTATTTTTAAGAGCTAAAGGAAATGACTATCATAGTTTACAATAAAGCATCACATGAACACAAATGACCTCAACATACATGACAAAAGAGCTCAAGGTTATATCTCATACATATAGTTATTTTAGCTAAATAATATAGTGTTTGTGACGTCAAAAGGATTTGTTATGTTAATTTTATAGCAGAATAACTCACATTGTTACTGCCAGTATCTTTACTGGTAGAGCCAGTCTATATCTGTGCACATTTTCTTCAAAATCCGTTCCATCCACTCATTTATACTGACAAATCTTGACTATTGTTATATCAGTGAGATATACTATTTAATAAAATGGGACAAAATTCCTCTAATCAAAAAACAAACAAAATTAAACAAATTTTCCGATATATGAACATGACTAAAAGCAATAAATTGAGTGTTTTATTGAATTTTTAAATAAACATTCATTTCTGCCAGTTATTAAACCAAAATTAAAAATAAAATGAAAAATATTCTATGTATCATTAAAAACAATAAACTTTGTCAAAGTTATCATTAAGGAAATGGCAAATAAAAACATAAAAAGTTTTATCCATTCTATTATTTATCAACAGTTCTCTCTTAAAGTTATTGAAAGTAATTTTCAAATCATAATTTTGGATCATAAACGTAGTAAATGTTCTGATAGTGCATTTAATTTTATAGCAAGGCAATTTACCATTACCTAAAGCTTATCAATGTCATATACATAGCAAAATATATATATATATATTTTATATCAGTACCATTTTAGTGGATGCTTCAAAGTATCCGCTGAAATTTATTGCCTTAAGCTTGTGCTATAGTGAGGGGTTAAATAATTGAAGTATTTGTTGTATTCAACTCTCTGATATTAAGTTATAAGTTGCAACTAACAGGAAAAATATAAACTTCATAGGCCATCTCTAAGTTTTAGGCTGTTTTCTGTTTTTTTAGAAATCCAAATTGCAGATAAATAAATGATGCAAAGATACTTAGTCTAGGTCAGATGTCAAATATAAAAAATCTTACTTAAGCTAAGGAGGAAACTACCATTTTAACACAATCAGGCTAATTATTAACTGTCTGAACAAAAAGTTGTCATATATTCATATGATCATTGTTGCCTTTCCATATGGAAAATATAATCCGTGTTTCTTAATAAGTATAATATTGTTAATTGTTGCTATGTTACAGATCATCAGAAGAAGTGCTCCACATAATCCAATGTCTTATCGGTTCACTGCAACGAGCTCGGACTGCCTTAGTACTGCCCAAGAAAAAAGCAATTGATGAGCTTATGAAGAGTAGAAATATGGTAAATACTTTTTCTGTTAAATTTTCAGATTTTGTAAACAGGATTGTGTACGTTAATAGATGTTGAACATTGGGATTGTTTGCGACTAAGGCCTCGTTCATGCACACTCGGCGTTGCGTGCCGCATCGTACTTCGGAAATTCGCTGCGGTCGCTCATAGGGCGCTACGTCTGGTGGCCTCTCTTCCACAACCAACGCATGGTTCACATTAGTTTTTTGCGCCGGCGATGACTCGGTCTCCTGCTGCAATGTACGAAAAACCCGGGACAATCCACCAATTAATGAAATAAAACTGTAGGGCAATTAGTATGATAATGATATTAAACATATTGCAAAGTATCTTTTGTAAATAATTGGGTACCAATTAATTTCGTTGTACCTAACCGTGTATGAAAAATTTTATAGGCAATTTTAATTCAAACTAATTATGTATAATTAAGTAAATCACTCATCAAAAATATTATTTTCAGAAGGCATTATCGCCGAATTTACCAGAAGACTTAGCAATATCATTCTACATACAATCGCACAAATTAATATTTGTCGCGTATCAACTGAGCTCTGTACATGGCACAATGAGGATTGACTCATGTCAAGCAGACTGCGCTGTTCCCTGGCTGAGTGATGTCTTGTTTATGTTA